ATATTTATATATATAGATATATACATCTATAGATATACCGGTATGTATATATATGACATAACAGCTGATATTTCTTATTTAACAGGCTTATTGCACAGGGTATTAAATATGTATTTAGATTAAAAAATATTTATTTATCTATTTATTTCAACTCCTCCTTGAAGTATGTGAAATGAAAATACATTTTGATCCCCATCCAATATAGTGTTCAGTTGTTGTTTTTTCTGTTTAAACCATATTTATAAAACAAATACTTATAGATTTCTTATCAATCAACTTATAAAATTTAAGTGTAAACAAAGCACGATTCAATTGCAGCTATTTCCAAGAAATTATAGATGTACCATTCACCACTTCATTTAAAAAGAAAAAATCCACTTAGAAACAAAATCAAAGTTGAGGGTTTTCTAAAATTTTCATGTTGAATTCAATGAAAACTCCTTTCCTTTTAAGTCCATTTACACAAGGATAACAGTTGTGCCTCCAAAAGTTTGTGTGGCCATATGGGAGTGTCTCTAAACCAGGCATGTCCAAAGCCAGCCCTTTAGGGCAGCTGATTCTGATGATTGCAGTTAAGCAAAAGCCTGTTCATCAGCTATCATTGAGAATCAACTAGGCTGAACCAGGCAAACCCTTAAAAGTTTCAGGATACCGGCCATCAAGGGCCCACTTTGGACACGCCTGCCCTAGAGTTTGCACAACTTATGCTTAAGAATTAAGGAGTCCTCTTATATTAAAACATAATTGTATGTTATTTGCAGGTCTGAATACCTTTGTTACAAGAATATTAGATACTGTTATTTTAATATCCTTAGGGACAACCCTTGGTTTTCCATAGGGACAAATTGTGTGGTATCGTAAAAATTTACTGAAATGTATAGTCATTATGTCACCAAAGGTATAGCTTTATCAATTACTTCTAATGCCTTATGCAAAACTGTGACAACTGTTTTTGTTTGTACTAAAAAAGATTCATTCACCTTAGCAATTTGGATGCTTAAGTTGAAAATGAAACAAAATTTTTGATTAATTTGGCCAACAAAAATCTGATCACTTTCTCGTTAATAAACCATTAAAACCAAAGGATGGCGAAAATCAATAAAAATTTGAAAAAATAAATAAGAAGGTGATGTAACAGTCAACTAAAATACCTGCACCTGACACAGGAGAAAGCTGTGCATTCCACACCCTTGATGCTAACACACTTGTGCTATTCGAAAAAGTATCAAGGTGACACACATACTTCAAAAGATGTGACAGGCTTTGATATTCTCCAAAAACCCCTTTGTTTCCTCACATTTGAATGCAATTTCAATGAGTAAGCATATGTTGCAATACAAGCAATAGCCTAACAGCAGTTAGGATAGATCTGATTCTGATACAACTTCAGTCTTCAAAAAAAACAAAAAACAAAGGTTTAATCCTGCTTAAAAATACTTTGTTTTGATCACTTGTCAATAATTTGGGTCTAGACATATTTTACTGTTCCAGTTAAAAACAAAACAAAAAAAACAACAACAAAAAACTCCTTGAAAATATGTCCTCCTTCTTCAAAAACATTTTGAAATAACTAAAAATAAGTCCCGATTACTCTCTTTAGACGCAACTGTTTGTTGCAGTTTGGACCTGTTTAGTAGATGAACCAAACTAAAAAGAAATAGATGTAAACAAAAACTGAATGGTTTAGAAAATGACCAAAAAGATTGTACATCATGAATTGCCAGAAGAATCCAGCCTCTGTTAGGCCTTCTGGACAGAATCTATATCAGGACCTCTTGAGTGTACTATGTTTGTAGGAACAGGAATTGGTCCACATTTGACACAGTGTTGCTGAGGATTCAGTGGATTTAGCTTTAAATGATTCTCACTAGAGTAGTAAACCAGAAGCTGGTCGACCTTCTATTCAGATTGGTTGTTGTCTCGGTTCAGATCAATGACCAATGACAGTGGTACATCGACAAACTTCATAAGTTTTAGATATGGTCAACTAAGGTGCAGTAGTTGGGGTACACAGATAAGAGAGGTTAAGGAAGAACACACCTATGGCAGGGTCCAGTGTTAGTGGTACTTTGTTCTCACACTGTTCCAGAGATCTAAAAAAGCTGTTTGTATGTAAGGTGGTCAGCACAGGTTCTCGTGCAGGTGGCTTCTGGAGTGAACCAATGCATTAGAATAGGCAGTTCCCAAGCAGAGAGAAACAGCTGGGATTTGAACAAAGGAACCTCTCACAGTGTTACAAACTGCGGCACTGTGCAGCCCTATGCTGAGTCTTTGCATTCAGATATTTTAACATGTTGGAGTCTTTAACATGTTTGCCAAATACTGTAAACCTAATCAACAATGTTTTTGCCTTTTTTTGCTTTTCAGGTTATTTTTTTGTTGAAAAACCAGTCCTTCCATGCACAGTGGACGAAGATGTGTCAAAACCAGTCCAGGAGGTTTGTGGAAAATGCGACAACTGCATCGATATCTGTATAAAAGAATAGATGCTGATCGCTGATGAACGACAATATTCTCTGACTCAAGAAAGAAACAACATCTCCCTTATTTCTCCGGATCTTGTTGATGAATGCAGAGAAACATAACTCAAGTTGTTATAATGCAGAGGAACCACAGTGGATGAATGGTTTAGAAACTACTGTCTGTTACTGAGAGGAAACATCACAAGATATCTGCATCCTGAATACTCATAAACTAACCATATAAAAACTACACTGGGAAGATTTATTCTACCTAAACACACAGAGTGGGACACTATGACAGTCCTGCATGGGCTATTTGGTCTTTTGCCAAATGGGTATGTACTATGGTACACTGGACTATATAGGAGGAGCACACATGAGACTATATTTAAGTAAAATTTATGAGATTATCTTTTAGAGATGATTGTGATAGATGGGCCCAAACATGTTTCTAAGTAAATATGTTTCCTTATGAATTATCTCCTGTATATATGTATATAGACTGACATTCTGATTTGTTTTTAGATCATAAATATTAAATAGGGAATACCTTGAAAAGTTAAATACATTCTTTTATTTTTTCTTTATTCAAAATAAAATGTATTTTTACTTTTAAAAGCATACCTCACATAATATGTACAACATTTACAAGATTTCTTAAATAATAAATGGCTGACATGAGACCATTTCTGCTTTTCATCAAAGTAAGGGCAGGATGTGGATCCAGATGAAAAACACAATTGTAAAACAAACTCACAGTTTGGCAAAAGATGCATCTTGTTGTTTGCCTAAAATTGTATTTTCAATGTTTTATAATCCTTCTTCAAAGAAGTCCAGGGTTAAGGTTTGTCCACCACAATTTCTTGGATTACAGCACCTCCTCCTTTGACATATGGTAGTCTTTGCCCTGCTCCTGGGAGGGGAAGAAAATGTCCTCCGTCTCGCCTCTCCCCTCTTCTTCGGAGAGGTGAACACTTGGAGAAGGCATGGGATGAAACACGGGACAGTCTCTCTCGTCTTCTTCTGCGATGCTGGCCGTCTCAGCTCTCTTCCTGCCCGGAGCCGTCGACCCGTTCAAACCCGTAAGAAAGCTGAAGATAACTGTACTCGGGTTGTGGACATGTACTGGGTCAGCAGATAAGGAAAAAACAAAACAAAAAAAGGGATTATTTTCATTATCTGAATGCAGCTTAAGGCAAAGGTTTATTTCACTCAGTAGTACCCAGATTTGCAGCTGAAAGAGGCGTTGTCTGCTGCTTCGCACTAAAGTTTCTTGGGATATGATGCGACGACTCCTTTGCCTTGTGGGTGGCATTTACACCTTCCTAAAAACGAATCACAACATTATTTTCTAGAAACACCAAGGAATATCATGCAATAATCTTTAGAATAATAAAAAAAAAAGGAACATTCAACTCCCGTTACAGTTCTGGGGTATTTATAGTAAGGACTACATGAATAAGATCTGGTCCAAGGTTTTAAAATTATTCAAATAAAGTATTAGGAGACAAAACAGAATATAAGTTATTCTAAAAACAAAGATTAACCCTCCATGAAAAACACACCAAAGTCTCCTACATTCACCACAATTCACTACTATTACCTCCACTGCTAAAGCTGAAAAGGCTCTTACTTTGATTGAACTCACAATGTTATCTTAGACGTTTGTATCTTAACTCCTTCAACTTTACTAAGGTGCAAATTTATTCTAAAATAAAAACAATATATATAGAAGAAAAGAAGCAGCCAGAAGTTGCTAGTCACAACACCATTACATGATCATAAGTAAGTGTGACCACCTCAATAAAACCAGGAGTTATTGCTTATCTAGGGGATACACATTTGCACACAATACAAGGAAGGAAGGGCTACAGCATCAGCCTTGGAGGGGTGGGGGGGGGGTATGCACATATTTCCAAACTATTTGAAATACATCATGCTGTAATACTTACAAGAGGAAAACTCAAGTTTACAGTAACTGAGGGCAAAAAGAGACTAATGCAAGCATAATATGAACCTTTTAAAATTGTAATATTATTTCATTTGAAACAGGTAGTCTTATTTCCATGATTGTAGGCTCCAGAATATTACCCCATGGGTGAAAGAGTGTTAAGCATCAGAACACTAAAGACAATAAAACTCAGATTTTGCCAACTTTATTTAGCAGATTAATTGTATGGGTTAATATCAGCACAATCAAATAAAAATACAGAACAACTCAATCCACAGGACCAGACCACCTTTCAGTCATTAGATAACCATGAACTCAGGAATCAAATGTGAGGCAACCTCTCATGTCACAAAGTCATAAAGCAGCGTTCATGTTATTTCTAAAAATGGTGGTTCTAAATGGTACAGGATCGTGTGGCCCCTTTTTAACAAGTCATGATGATGTTGGTTCTTCTCTGGCCTTTCACACGAGTTAGGTTATAATTTTAGAACCTTGTTATGACCAGATCATTACAACAGAATTTAAAGAATGTTTTTACCATGACTATGTAGAGACAGCAGAAACCTTAACTTACATACCTCATTACACATCTTTGCAATAACTGAAAAACAGAAATGATGAGTAACATAAAATTAGTTTCAGACCTTTGCGTCAGCATGTTCATCATTCATGTAGCAAAAAGCTCAAGATAAATCCTTATTCACACTCATCTCCGCACTGCTCAGTTTAAACGTGTTTGTTGATTCAATCATAAAGTTCAGCTGAGGCCGCGGAAACTGTCCTGAATGTAAATGAGCACCTTACTTTGTCTGAAACATGTTTCCTCTCGGGGCTGATTGATGCAGAACAGGATCATAAGAACCAAGCATACTATGAAGACCACCGAGACCAAAATGGCTGCCAGCTCAGCTTTTACTGCAACAGGAAATTAAAAACGTCACAAAGATCTAAATAGTACAAAAGCAATGTTTTCAGAAACAACAGGTGGATAAAAACATACAAGTGAAATAAAGAAAAATAATATATGGGGCCTGAATGTTTTGAATATAGAAAAAAAGAAATCTAACAAAAATGAAAAATAAAACCTTGAATATTAATTAAGGATAAATTGGTGTTAAATGTTTTCGAAAACAATTTTAATCTTGATTGATTTACAAAAAGGTTTCAATATTCATATTGCTTGTCTCTAATATTTTGTATTTTCTGTGATTTATTTAAAACCTTTACAGTAATATGGAGTTTCATGAGTTAACTAAGTATTTTTGTCAACTTTCCCTTTGTCAATCTGATCAAAATCAAATAAGAAGCTCACTTAATTATAAATAGGAAAGAAAGATGATATTTCTGCCTAATGAAACCTAAAACGAAGCTTATAAATAATCACTGTAGGGTAACAAAGAGGGAGGAAAGTGGTGTGGTAGTGAGCAGACACTTTGGTTACTTTGGCGCCATCTACAGCGTTAAAGTTGGTGTGTCAAAAGACCCAAATATCAAGCAAAAATAGTTGTTTCTCAATATGTTGCCAATTGACATATTTTTACCCAAACAATTTAATGACCTTTACCTTATTTGTCAACTATTATAATATTAAAATAAATTAAATATTTTGGGGGTTTATCCGTTTTTGTCAAACCACATTATTAAAGTATGTATACGTTTTTCCTCTGCTTTATTTATTTTCTTAGGGATAATTTAGAGCTCCTTTGGCCATTCTCTGAAAAGCATTTTTCCTTAAAAATGCTATTAATTTTAGCTCATATATTTTGATTTGATTGTAGCAAATGTAGGTAGTACTGTAACTAGTTTCATTTACTCAGATCAGTTCAGTTAATTATTATGATATTTGGGCAAACATAAATACATCTATTGCATCAATGCACAAAACCAAGAGAAAACATATAGCTGAATAGGAGTGGGCAGAAGTAAATAACTTTTCATAGAACTTCATATAACTCTGTCCTCAAACTTAAATTTACTTTAGTTACCTTGTGGAAAGAAATTAAGTACTTTTCAGAGTATTGTGGCTGCAACGTACTTTTTACTTCTACTTAAGTAAATTTATGATGAAGTATTACGACTCTTACTTAATTAAACTTTCTAGCTACTCTTCCCACTGTGACAAACTTCAATGAATAAACAACAAGCTTGTTCTAAACTATAATATAGCAGACAGAGAGAAGTAAAAGTTTTATCCAAATTAATTTTCTTTTTTCTACACAAGGTTACTTCTATTTGTTGATCCCGCTATTGTAAAAAGTCCTGATATTAAAACATTAACTACTCTACGTACTGATTTCTTCAAGTTTATTGAAAGCATTTGATTTGGAAAAGTGATTTATTAAATAATTTTACCCTTACCATTTTTTTCCTTTCAGCCTTTTAATTTGCACAATACATTTTGTTTGTCTGATAATGGATTCAGGAAATGAGTAGAAATTCTTATAAATACCTGTTTACTCGTATTGATGTAATTTCTTGGATAACTGCTTTTTAGTTTCTACTTGAGTTAAGATATACAGAATTAGAGCTACTGTTAGTCAAATACAATATTTGGGCCCTTTATCCACCTCTGGAGAGAACCAAACTATTTTTTCTAAAACCAGGTCTTTTATTATGTAAAAAAACTGTATAAAGAGTCATTAAAAAAATTAATGAAAACCCAGTCAAATCTGTAATTTTGGCATTGAAGTAAGGATTGGTTTGTTTTAATGCACTGAAGTGGCGGCCTAGTGGTTAAGGCGTAGAGCTTGGAATCCTAAAGTTCTGAGTTCGAGGCCCACTGCCAGCGACTGCCAGTCTGGCTCTCTGAGCAAGACCCTTAACCCCATACTGCTCCCTGGGTGCTGCAGCTGCATTAAGCTCTTCATAAATTGTTCTTCAGCTAATCTCAAGACTGGATGAGAAGAGGGACCATTCTTTCACTGATGTTTATAGCAGTAGTCTGCATGCCCATGGTCTTGATTTTTGTATATCTGTGGCAATGAAAGTGATTGAAATACTTAAAATAATTCCTGTTTGAAACTGGAAGCCTCATGCCCACAAAAAAAAAAAAAAAAGAAGTAAGGATTTCAACTAACTTGTGTTTCCAAGTTTCCAAGTCCAGTGGATTGTTTTTAATTTTCTTTTTTTTTGGAATGACTATGACCTGGATGATTGAAAACCTTCACCAGCATACTTTAGTAATTCCTTAGTTTGGCTAAAGGAGTGCAACTCTTACTTTGGAGGCAGTTTTTGGCTACTTTACTCATCTCTGCAAAGTGGAATTATAATTTAAGAAGACATTGCATTTCTTATTCTTTTTTTTTTTTGTTAAAGCCTATAAAACATTTTGAATAACTCTCACCTGGTTTGGGATCAGAGGTAGTTGGGGAAGCTGAAGGTCCACACCTGTGAGGGATAAAAAGGAAAATATGCAACTTTATGTCTTAGAGAAGTATTTATCATCTTCGTAATTATTAAAACTCAGTACCTCTAGTTGCATTTCTCAACTTAGTCTGTTCCAGGGGAAAAAAACAACTTACCATGGGGCGCTACAAGGTTTAGTCTGAGCTGAGGAAGTCTGTAACCCATCGGCTGAGGCTGCAAAACAGAAACATCACACATTTGTTTCATCTTTCACCTAAATGAAAACATAAATAGATTGCTTTTCTTTTTCACACTTTCTTAAAGGAAATTAAGGTGTCTATTTCATTACAGGTACAGTGAAAGTTTAAGATACAAGACTCCTTTTTCACTTTTATGTGTTTCACTCTTCATGTATTTTGTTATACAGTACATGATCACAACAGCCCCTCATTTCCTCTTACTGTGTCACTGTCTGCAAAACACAACATACTGTAGACAAAAAGTCCCTCACATACTCATACCCACACAAATTGAAGTTTTTTTTTTTAAATCTAATCCATAAACAATGTTTTAGCCACTTGGGGGCAGTGGACACTAAAATAAATTCATGTAACTTTGTACAGCAGCACTTCACTCACTGCCCACACACTGGTGCTCTGAGATGGATGAGGCAAGCTAGTCCAATCTGTTCAACACAAACAATTATCCCTTAAAGGCCAAACAAAGCAAGAGATGCAAAAATGATGCACAAATAAGCTGCTCTGTATAAAAAAAAAAGACTTTTTGGTCCTTCACATATTACCTCTGTTTCTATGTCAAATTTACAGCAGATGGCCATGTACAGTGAGGAAAATAAGTTTTTTAACCCCCTGCTATTTTGTGAGTTCTCCCACTTAAAAATTATGCAGGGGTCTGAAATTGCCATCGTAGGTGCATGTCCACTGTGAGAGACATAATCTAAAAAAAAAATCCAGGAATAACAATGTATACTTTTTTTACAATTTATTTGTATGATACAACTGAAAATACGTGTATGAAAACCCGTCTATCAGCTAGAATTCTGACCCTCAAAGACCCGTCGGTCTGCCTTCAAAATCGGGACCTGAACTCCATTTATTATCCTAAATTAGATGCACCTGTTTGAGGTTGTTAGCTGCATAAAGTCACCTGTCAACTCCATACAATCAGTAAGAATCCAACTACTAACATGGCCAAGACCAAATTGCTGTCCAAAGACACTAGAGACAAAATTGTGCACCTCTACAACACTGGAAACGGCTACTGGGAAATTGCCAAACAGCTTGGTGAAAAAAGGTCCACTGTCAGAGCAATCGTTATTAGAATCAATCAGAAGCTAAACATGACTGTCAATCTTCCTCGGACTGGGGCTCCATACAACATCTCACCTTGTGGGGTCTCAATGTTTCTAAGAAAGGTGAGAAATCATCCCAGAACTACATGAGAAGAGCTGGTGAAGGACCTGAAAACAGCTGGGACCACTGTTTTCATGGTTACTGTAGGTAATGTACTACTGTAAGACATTCAGACTTCGTGTGTGAGTGTGTGTGTGAATGGGTGAATGACTGAACACACCACAGCACACACACACACACACACACACACACACACACACACACACACACACACACACACACACACACACACACACACACACACTCTAAACAAAACTATGTTTTCCTCTCAAACACACTATGACATGCACACATCACAGTAGAAACGGTCACAGGAAAACATAGCTTTATTTAGAGTGTGTGTGTGTACTTAGGTGTGTGCATGGTTTTATGTGTGTACGTGAGAGGTCAATTTTAGTTTTGTGATTGTGTGTGACTGTTTCTACTGTGATGTGTGCATGTCATAGTAGGGTGTTTGAGAGGAAAACATAGTTTTGTTGAGAGTGTGTGTGTCTACTGAGGTGTGTACATGGTTTTATTGGTGTACGTGAGAGGAAAAATTGTTTTTTGTTCTAAACGGCCCCCCATAGATTCCAGCTTTCTCTCACAGTCTAAAAACATGACTGTAAGGTTAACTGGCTTTTCTAGATTCTCCTTGTGTGTCCATAGTTGTATGTCTCTACCCTTTTCTGTGTAAAATGTACTAGCATAACAAAAATACAGGTTTTGTTAATAAGAGAAATTAGGAGGTACAATTTGTAGTAATTGAGTTTGTTTGTTTTAATCAACTTTCCTTAGTAACTACAATCAACATAAGTTAAATTCCATTCCATTTTTTACTCAAGATTATACATTTATTGACTTGAAGAGAAAATTACAATGTTTTTTTAGTTTGATCCTAACATTGTAGATTCTTTTATTTCTCCAAACTTAGAAACATAGAGCTACTGTACCTCCTTCTCAGAGTCTCACTTTAAATAATCCATGCAATTCTTTACAATTTTTAATTTCAAACAAATTTTAGAAGAAGCCTTCAACGTTTAATCAACATGTTGCCTCTTCCAATAGGACTTTTTTCATTCTTTTAATCAAAAACCTAAGTCCTTTAGAGAGATGGTTGCTACTGGTGTTATGGTGATTATTAATAAAATGTAAATTTCATTGAAACCTAAACAATTTGTTTTAGAGTGAAGTGGATTTGGCAGGACTCTCTATAGAAATAAGCTGTTACCTTAGCCTCGCTAGCTTTACTCTCTGGTCTGGATATGTTTTGTGACTCCAAACTGAGGATTTGCAGACACTCCTATTAACCAATCAGAATCCAGCAAAGTGAGAACAGAGAGCTTTGTTCCATAACTTGGAGCAGAATTAGTGCCCCCAATTTGTGCATATGTTGTTCTATGGTAAATCTGTCTTCTTTAAATTAAAGTAGGATTTTATCTGGATTTACCTGTTGTGTCCACCTCTTTTTCACATTTCTTGCAGTAATGCTCTTCTTTTCCAATGCATCTGTAACCAGTCTCACAAGCACAGATCAAGGGGGTTTTACTTGTGCAGTTCTGAACCACTTTCATATGATTCTCTAAAGGATCCAAAAAGAGAGGTGAGGGCTGAGTTAATCACTGTAGACCACTTCTGTTTTTAAAATAGACTGGTATGTCTGCATCATGCATGGAGCTATTCAAAGTAGGACTGGTGCAAATGTCTTTACCTGGACTGCAGTCTCTAAAGCATCTGTGGCAGTTATGCTCGCGATTCCAAACATCGGTGTACCTTCCAGGAGGACAGGGTGTGCACTCGGTACAAGACTTCTGAAACTCACCTGAAAGAACAGGAAGAAACAAATACGAACAACCGGATGGAAGCAAGTGTCATGAGTGTCTGCAGACCCAGAGTGCATATAAATCAAGGATGTGGTCATAAAGTGTATATGTCAAAGTGCAATATGCATAGACTGAATGAACGACTATATATGTAATCAACAGACATGTTTAGTGTGTGATAAGGTGTGTTAAAAAAAAACACAAAAACAACATATGATAAAAGAAATCAATACAAAAAATTGTTTTACCTGCAGGGCATTCATTACACTTTCTTTCTCCCTCCTTGTAGCTCCTGATTGTCTGCTGACATTTACATTTAAATACAATTAAACCACAATAGCTTCATCAACTCATATCAACACATCTGACCTAAATTTTAGGTATGAAAAATAGTTTTTTCAGTCATAGGTAAAGAGGATGAGGATGTATATTTTTTTTACCGTGGGAAAGCTGAACACCAACTGCACAGATAATATCACAGCTAGGAAGTATTGCACAGCCCCCATCCTGTAGGTGTAAAGTGACATGTTACTCAAGTGATCAGCAGCACCTAGAGTAAAAAGTTGTATCTGGCGTGATTGATCGATTAGCAGACAGACTTAACCAGAGGTTTAAAACAAGAAAATACACGTTTTCCTTTTTATTTAGGTTAAAGGTAGCATTTGTTTTACTTAAACATATAAAAAATGTTGTTTTGTTGATATGCATTAGGCTAGAGGCACATGTACAATTGATGGTAGTAAGCAGGTATTTGCAACCAAAAAAAAAGAAGAAACAGAGCTCTGGATTGGATTTTATGTGGATATTTGAACAACTAAATTGATCTATTGGATAGTTGTTTTGTGTCCCTTTTGATAAAGCTTATCAAAGCTTATCAAGTTATAGTGGCTCAGGTTATCCTGGGCTATCTCTATAGTTATGTTTCTATAGAACTTTCATTATTTGGCTTCATTCTATCTCTATTGTCCCATTCTACAGTATCTGTTAGTTCAGTCTCTACAGTTTTGCTCTCTACTTTTTCTCATCATAGCAGCTCCATCTGGTGTGTTCCTGTTTGGCTGTTTTACCATCCTGGAGAGAAATATCAGCTGTACTGCTGAAATCAACACCTTTGTTTATAGATGTTGGAGCTTGGCCTGTTTTTCAGTGTAGTCCTGTTTCTCTTACTATGACCAACTGTATGTGCTTTCTTTCATCATCTGAGATGGGAGCTGGCTTGGATCTTGTTTGCATGGCTATATCTTTCCTGGACGGGGTCGCGTGTGGAGCTGTGTATCTTTGCTTCGTTCTGTATATTTGCTTTTGTCTCCTTGATCCCCAGTCACCCTCAGCAGATGGCCACTATCACTGAGCCTGGTTCTGCTGAAGGTTTCTTGTTCCTGTTAAAATGAAGTTTTCCTCTCTACTGTCACTACTTGCAGGCTTGGTGTGAGGGATTGCTGTAAAATCAATCAGTAACTGCAATCAACAAGATTTCCTTAGAGCTTGAACCAATCTGACTGTATGATCTGGTTGAATTGTCTCTGTAATGTGCCATGAGATGACGTGTGTTTTGATTTGTCACTATATGAATAAACTTAATTGATCTGAATTTTGTGTAGACATTTATTTTTGACCTGGTGAGGAAAGTGTAAGGAATTTGTTCCCCCCTAAATAGACCATACTGTTTGGAACTACTGCTCATTATAGAGACCAGAGTCTAATTCCTAGATTAGGAGTTAGGTTTAAAACTGAGGTGTGAATTGGGTTTGGGTTAGGCTGGTGCCCGGTAAAATCTGAGGAGTTACTTTTGTTCCATTATTGTTGCAAGCAAAGAAGACATTCTGTACATAGAAATGGAAAAAGTCATATTTTGTAAATTGATATTTAACAATCCAAAAGTGAAACTTTTAGAAATGTGTTGTTTAAAAATAGGTTTTGAGGGTAACTTTGCTGTTTTTCCAGATTTTATTTGTTCAAATTATTTCATTTGTTACTCTTTACTTCTAGGACAGGCTTTCCTCTAGAATGAGGAGCAAAGACACATTTCTGGTAGTCTGCATTGATGTTACATTTTTATTAGTCTAGAGGGAGAGTTTGTTTTGGACTTATGTGATCTTTAAAATGCCATTTAAAAAAAGCATAATTTTTAAATCTCAATAAAAAAAAAAAAAACACATTTGAAAAATATAATTTGAGAGGAAGTATGAAAAAGTATGAAAAATATTGATACATTGTACTTTTTAAACTCACATTTGAGAAAAGGGCAAAGTTATTATCAAAACCTTTTCTGTCTTTCATTCCTGGATTGCATTTTTTACAAATTTCCATTTACAAAATCGCTTAATTGCTTGCAACAATAATGGAACAAAATTGACTCCATACAAACCAAGTTAGAACATCCGCTGTCAGTTACCAAGTGTAAAATTAATAACAGGCTATGACAACAACCTGTCAAAACCTGAAAGAAAACTAAGCAAAGTTTTGGTCGCATGAATGCTGTTTTCTGCAACACAAAGGTCCGACACACAAATTAAAACCACATCAAACTACAATATGCATTTTTTTTTTCTTAACTGCGAACAGTCAGTACAGTAAACCCGGAACGTGATATTCAGTACATCTGTCGGACTTTTTAAGAAAATTACAAGGTGGTAAATGCAACTTTTGAGTCCCATTTTTTTCGCTCTCGCCTGATCTCAGCCTAATTAACAGTAGCCTACTCAAGGAAATATTTGCGCTAATTTGCTCTACTTTTCAATACATTATAACACCCGTTTTTTTATTTATTAGAAACAAGAAAAAGTTATTTGACTTTACCTCCTTTTGTCGCAGTCTTTTCTTGGTTCTGTTTCTTTTGTGTTGTCAAACTTCCTCGAGATGAAACTGCCTCTCCTTCTGTCACATCATTTGTGTCATTATTTCCTTACCTGTCTGTCTTCCAGCCCCCTGCGGTGCGCAGTGTTTCAGTTTTCACCCAACAACCAACCGTCTAACATTTATTCATCTTAAGTTTCCGTTTAAACTGTAAAATGTGACTAAAGCCCGACTGCATAACAACATGATGAAGGAGCATATCTTTATTCTGGGTTTCCTTTCTGATTTGACTGTGTTCTATGAAAATATTGTTTTGGTTTTTTTGAATCATGTGATGGTGAAGAGGATTAGGGCCACTGAAAAAAAAAAAGTTCTGCTTTTTACATTTTACTTCAGTTTAATATGGGAAAAAAGTCTTCTCAGACATGATAAACTGAAATAAATCAGTTAACTTTTTTTTCAGTTGCCCTAATCCTCTTCCATATGAATCTGTGCTTTATTAAATGTAAAAGCAACTGAAATGGCCAGCCCCTCAAACTTTAAAAAAAAAAAGACAAAAACACATTTTTTTGCATAATTTGCAGATAGAAGTAATTACATTTTCACTGCAAAAGAAATGAGTGATATTTAACAAAAAATATTACTTGAATTGTGTTTTTTTTTTTTTTTTTTCTCTAAATGATCAAAATCTCAGAATAAGAGGATGTCTATTTAAAATTATGTGCTTTTCACTTTTGGACTAAGAGTCTAACAGGGCGATTTTTCTATTGAAAGAGAAAACAGCTCTTCAGATGTATGAAAATTATAAAATTCGACTCTTTTATCAGTTACATGTTGAAGTCACTATTTGGCTATAATTGTCAGACTTAAGTTACATCTTGAGTCATCTAAAGACACTCATTTTAACTCATTTTAGTAATCAGAATGACTGAAACCTGACATGATTCAGAGACTTATGAAAACACTTTGTCCATGCCAACATGGAAATTGTGCTAACTAGGAAAGAAAGTGCTTAACCCCCCCATATCCTGTGCTGCTGCCCACATAGTCAACCAAAATGCCTTCTTCTCTTATAGTCACACAAGTGCAGATTGTTTGACCACAATGATAAAGAGGTATATATATGTGGACAAAACCCAGCTCAAGAGCAATAACAACAAACGGGGCACAAAACACCAAAATGGAGAAACAGTATTTTGCTCTCTGATGGATATTTAATTTACAAAACAAAAATGTAATCTGTATTTTGTCCGCATAACTGTAAAGTGTGCTGAGGGTGTGTGTTACAGCTTTAATTAGTAATGCAGAATGAAGCAAAAAAAGGCAATGTTTTGCACAGTATGCACTAAAAGAAATCCATGTGGTGGCAGAGCGGCTGCTCTAGCAAAGTCAGAGGTTTATGGATGATGGCGGTGGCCAACCTGAACCCAGAAGCCTCTGGTACAGGGGAAAGAGAGAGGGAGAGAGGGTACAGCAGAAGCCCATTTTATTCCATCCAGGAAAACTTGAAGCCTCGCATGATCCCTGAACACCAAGGTGAGGCTTTCACATAAGAAAATAACATACCAGCTCCATTACATGTTGTTGCTAGAATCATGCTTCGAGGTATCATGCCTTGCACAAAACAAAGTCTCAGTTCTTCACAAAAACATTTTAAACTTAGGAACGCTATACTGAACTTTAAACATTATAGTGAGAGAGTTGTATTTCAGAGTGAAAAGATTATTTGACTAGAAACAGATGGTTGTTGATGGAAAGCATGTGGTTGAAGTACAAATTGCTAATTATAATTTACCTAATAATGAGGAAATGCTTGCATGTTTGAGAATGTATGTATGATTCTGTCGATTTATTGCAGATGATGAGTGTAGGTAATGTTCTGTATCTCTTATTTTCAGAATTATGAACATGGTACAAGCAACCAACAAGGTATTTAAAGAAATGGAGAAGGAATCTTAAACACATGTGAACATGGTCTTTACTTTGACCTGTCTCATCTTTTAAAGGGTGTTTTGACCTTTTACAAATGTGCTGTGATCTATTCAGATATGGGAATATTGTGCTTCTGTCATATGACACACAGCTACAGCCAAATTTAAAACAGTATTTTTAAAGAAAGGTTGGGTCGAATACTGTAGGACAGAAATAGATGAGATATTAATTTATCATCAGCCAAATTAATGTTTCCACAAGCTGTATGGAGGAAGAGAGAATCCAGATACTAAGAGACAAGATAAAAATCACAAAAAAGTAAACATATCTAAATACCAGCTGACAAAGGAAGATGCACCATGGTCTTCAACACTTCCAGCTATCAGGACACAATCCTCACTCTACTGAGTGACACCGACACATATGAATCTTTGAAAAGAGAGCCAACCAACGCCTACAAAAAGAAAATCATGGACTACTTCAAGCAACTCTAAAAAGACAACGTAATTAACCATTCAGATTGTTTTAGATAATATCCAGGGGAGGACATTCCATGCTTATATGGACTCCCAAAAATTCACAAGGCAGGAACACCACTCAGACCCATTGTCAGCAGAATTAACTCAGTAACATACAACATTGCTAAACAGCTTACTAATATTTTAGCCCCCTTGGTGGGAAACTTACCACATCACATAGAAAACTCCAAAGACTTTGCAAACAAAGTCAAACATTTAACGATGGTGCCAGGAGAAACCCTGGTGTATTTTGATGTTACTTCTCTTTTCACGTGCATACCTATATCAGAGGCAATGGAAACAGTCGGGAAAAATCTTCAACAAGACAATGACCTAAACAGGACAAATTTCACTCCGGACCAGATCTGCACTCTATTGGACCTTTGTCTTTCCACAACCTATTTCAAGTTCGGGGATCATTTTTACAGACAGAAGCTTGGTTGTGCCATCGGATCTCCCATGTCACCAATTGTATCTTTACATGGAAGAAATGGAAAAGAGAGCTTTGGACACTTTCAGAGGAACACTACCAAGCCACTGGTTTAGATATGAGGATGACACATTCGTTAAAATCCAGCTGAAAGAATTGGAAGCTTTCACAAGACACATCAACTCGGTTGACCACAACATCAAATTCACCAGAGAGGATGCCAAGGACAACAAGGTACCTTTTCTGGACTGTTTGGTGAGCATGGAAGAAGATGGAAACCTCAACATTGAAGTGTATAGGAAATCCACTCACCCAGACCAATGTCTACTTTTTCACTCACATCACCCACTGGAACACACATTTTCAGTCATCAGAACATTACAACACTGGGCTGAGCATGTCCCTACAAAAGCAGAAGGGAAGCACAAAGCAGAAACACATAAAAGAGGCTCTTCAAACTTGTGGATACCCAAACTGGGCGTTTGTCAAATCAGCAAGGAAATTCAAAAGACCTGCTGCAGAACATAACGGTGAGATTAAACGCAAAAAAATCACCATTGCATATGTTGCTGTGGTCTCTGAAGAGGATGAGGATCAAAAACAAAATCCCAGTACATTTCAAACCAAACAAGACCCTTAAACAGAGATTAGTGCATCCTAAGGCACCCCCAGACTCCAAATATGAACGGAGTGATATATGCAGTTCAATGCAGTGAGGAATGCTCTGATCTTTATTTTGTAGAAACCAAACAACCTCTCCACAGACACATGCCCCAACACAGAAGAGCAATCTCCTCAGGACAAGACTCTGCAATACATCAAAACCTTATGGACAAAGGACATTCTTTTGAGGAACAGAATGTTCACATTTTGGACAAAAAAAAAAAAAAAAAGGTGATTTGAGAGGGGCATGAAGGAATCCATTTACCGTATGTTAAGACAGAAAAACCAACCTTAAACGGAGGGGTCGGACTCAAAATTTAGCTTTCAAAAAACCTTCAATGCAGCAACTTAGTTGATCCCTTCTCGCTATTATCACAAACTGGCCAACTGCCAGGCCAACAATTTCCCTTAACAATGCCCCTTTCAGAGACTTAGACAGGTATGAAGCATTGCAGGCTAACAAAAGAAGCCAAACAACCCCCGTTCCAAAGGGGTGGACCCGTTCGTCCGTTTCAATTTGCATGTTTTCTAAACAAAAACAAGTCTTTGATGGGCTGCTGTTTAAAACCTCAAACTCAACACTATTCCTGACATTTTGAATTGAGAAAGCTTCCTGGATGGGAAGCAAAATGTCTTCAAACTTGAAAAACAAAGTCCAGTGGATTGTTTTTAAACTGTTTTGGAATATCTAAATAAGGATTACAACACTAGAAAGTAGTGTGTCATCAGCCTGTGAAGACTTGATAAGCTGGGCAGATAACACGGCACACCCAAAGAGCAAAATACTTTTGGATCATTAGCAGGTTTCTGTAAAATTTGATAACAAGCTACTTAAGAGGTTTATTTCTTCGAATCTGATCAGTTTGAGCAGAGGTGCATATAAAGGCTGCAAGACTGTTCTTTAAGATCCAGGCTCAGATAACATGACTGCAGTACTAAACACATGCAGAGGCACAAAACCTATCAACTTTAACCACATTTACCTCAGCTAATTCTGTCCTTCCTGTAGTTGTTGTCATCGTTATTTCCTGTTCTTGGACTCTGTGAAAATTGGAATATTAAATACCTTAACAAAGATGACACACTGTAACAGTCATCATAGATGCGTGTAAAGTTCTTGACAGAACTAAAGAGTGATTTTAGAAAATTTCAAATATTTGTCAGGGTAAAATGCAATTTAGTTCAACTTTATTTCCTTGTGAAACCTTGAACATGTAGGAGTAAACAGAGGAGGTGACTACTATGAATTGACAAAACCTCAAATATAGCTGTCAAAATATTTTTAGAAAAACTGGGTGAAAGTACAGTTGCCTCTGTTTTAAGACTCTTTTAGAAGAATTAACTAATGCTTAAAACATATTTCTACTCTGCTACAGCTAAAAAGTACCCATCCAAAAAATCAACAGGCAGGGCATAAAGAATAAAAAAATAATAATAATAAAATTCAATACCTGAGGAGACACTAAATCACAGTAAGTCACCAGGTCTTGATCAATTGAATTCAATTCAATTATATCATTCCCAATTCATGTAATCTCAAGGCACTTACAGACCAGATGAAGCTGCTATGATTAGAAAAAGCAGAGAGCTTTAAGTTAGAGGTTGAATTAACAAATACTGCAGAATGGGAGAATAGAGATAGAATGATGAAAAGGGGTCCTTATGTCCTCCAGCAGATTAAGCCTATAGCGGCATAACCATTGAGTTAGCTCAGGATAACCTGAGCCGCTCTAACTATAGGCTTAACAAAAAGCAAAGTTTTAAGCTTTGTCTTAAAAGGGTCTCTGCCTAACGGGCTAAAGTAGTAGTCGGTTCCATAGGAGAGGTGCCTGATAACTAAAAGATCTGCCTCCCATTCTACCTTTAGAAATTCTAGGAACCACTAGTAAACCAGCAGGTTGAGAGCGAAGTGCTCTGTTAGAAACATAAAGAACAATCAGATATCCTTTTAATTTTCATCAGAACTTTGGCTGCAGCATTTTGGATTAGCTGAAGGTTTTTCAACTACAGTTTGTGGACTTCCTGATGGTAAATAATTACAATAGTCCAGCTTTGAAGTAACAAATGCTTGGACTAATTTCTTAGCATCACCCCTTGACAGGATACTTCAAGAGATGAAAGATACTCTAGAAACCTCTCTGTTATGCAATTTAAGTCCTGATCAAAAATAACACAAAGTTTTTTTATTTTATTTTCTTAGATCAAAGTAACTCATTGTGGGTAGATATTTTACTCCAGTAGTGATACTCCATAACAACATTATTTGCATACAATTAAAATATACGGTAGAGTAAAACTACTACTAAAAGTACAGTTTTTGTCCAAGTATAAAGTTAATGTAACCGAGCAAATGCAACTAGTTAGTTAGTTGAAATGAGAGTGAGTCTTGATGGGCCAGATGGATGGGCACAAGGCTGGATCAGTAAAGGGCAGCAAGTTCCTTATCGACTCAGACGACAGCAAGGTGGAGGTGCGGTACTGGTATGGGCTGGTATCATCAAAGATGAGCTTGTGGGACCTTTTTGGGTTGATGATGGAGTCAAGGTCATCTCCCAGATCTACTGCTAATTTCTGGGAGACACCTTCCTCAAACAGTGGTACAAAATGAAGTTGCCATCATTTAAGAAAAACATGATATTCATGCAGGACAATGCTCCGCCACATGCATCAAAATGCACCACAGCGTGGCTGGCCAGAAAGTCTAAGATGAAAAAAAATGACATGGCCCCCTTGTTCACCTGATCTGAACCCCATCGAGAACCTGTGGTCCTTCATGAAATGTGAGATCTACAGGGAGGGAAAACGGTACACCTCTCTAAACATTGTCTGGAAGGCTCTGGTGGCTGCTGCATGCAGTGTGGATAGCAAAGAGATCAAGACGCTGACAGAATCTATAGATGGAAGGCTTTTGAGCGTCATGGTGAAGGAAGGTGGCTATATTGGTCAATGATTTTTGTTTTTGTTTTTGAATGGTGCAAATGTTTGCTTCTGAATTTTGAGTTGTTATATTGGTTTACCTGGTGAAAATAAACAAGTGAGATGGGTATATATTTGTTTTGTATTACGTTGCCTAATAATTCTGCACAGTAACATTTACCTGCACACAGACATCCACATAAAATGGCCAAATCTTAAAATAATTACTTCCAAAAATATGAAACTTTGATATAAGGAGTCTTTTGGGTTGATTGAGAACACAATTATGGCTCAATAATCAAAATAATCCTCAAAAATACAACTTGCCTAATAATTCTGCACACAGTGTAAGAGGATTTAGATATAAAATGTCTATTATGCTCAACCAAGAGGTTTGTCTCTGTTAGAAGAGGATACATACGTCCCTTTAAATTCAATGAAACATAAAAAAAATCTTTTTTTATTTTGTATTATTACATTTTATTAAAAAGTAAAATAATCAGATGGAAATTTGAAAATACTTCCTAAAAAAAAATAAAAAAAAAACTTTGAAGGTTCTCACATTCTCTTCCAGATTGAAGCCAGGACTCTGGCAGGGTCCCTCTAAAACATTTAATAGGGGACAAAAAAACTAAACGTTTCCAAAGGTTTAAGATATTGAACCTAAATCTATGAGGGGTATGATTGATTCTTGGATTAAGTATAGTAGCCTAAAAAAAGAAAAGCATTAATGTCAAGTGTGCACAACAAACGACAAGTTTTTATTTATCAGTTGGATATTTTATTCTTTCAGTCTCTCTTTATACATTACATACTTTAGCTCTGCAATAAAGCTTTGAAACCAGAACCTTTTTTATTTTTTTCGTTTTGACACAAGGTCAAACACCCAAAACTCCTGATAGGGTCAAAGGATTAGTTTACATATTTTACATGACACAAATTTGTGTTAACCTCTGGAGGTAAGGGTTTCTCTTCAGTAGACACGCTTGTATGTTTTAATCTGCCAACATTTTTGCAAGTCAGATTTTTATTCAAGATTTGTTACCCTTTGTTTCAGTGATGTGACTGTGGACCCTCTTAGAGCTCGCCTTTAATATATCAAAGCTATATTTTCATTATTATTTCATAGCCATTACACGCTCATTTTGCAAAAGCACTGGTATTTCACTGGATCGGTTTTCTGAACTTGAGTTGTTTTTAAATTGACTTCACTTGGCAGACAGGCACACGTCTTAAAGGAAGTTTACTAATGGAAAAAAGCTATCATTTGATTTTTAATTTAATGGGTGACCACAGACAAAAGACAGCTTAGTCTGAAATGTCACCTTTCAGTTATCCTGTTTCATTTTCTACAACGCTATGCATATGCGCCAGTAAAAGTCGTTTTAAAAACACCCACTGAAAAGACTCAAAAACAGACACACTGGCACATGCATACAGGAGAGACTCACTCGGTGTCTGACAATAAAAGGGATTGCTGTTTGAAGACTCACACGGCACATATTTGACATCTTTCAGCATTAAAACAGCAGTAAAACACTCGAAGCAGCTGATTCAAACAGCCTCACATGCAAAAGCTGAAAGCTATCATCTTTTATCGCTGAAACAATTTGAGTAAGAGTCACAACATTTCACCTGGTTTAGCTAGACTGAATAAAACGAGAAGATTATCTGATAGTATTGTACAGCAGTGATGCAGGGGTTACTCCCCCCTCAACAGTGAAGATGACCAGACATGTTGTCCTGTATTGGTGTGTATATTTGGTGATTTAAAACACAACATAAATGAAACATGAGGTATGTATTATAAGTTCACCTGAAATATGTTAAGGAAGTGGAAACAAACAAGTCATATCCAGCTTCATACTATATGATTCATATAGTTTTTCATCCTGTCAATGTGCAAACGCTTCTAGGCTCAAAAATAGGTTTAGTTATATACATCAAGCACCTTGGCGACATAGCTTCACTCTTTTCTCAACCATTTCCTATTGAGTCACACTATTGACATTTATTTTGGCACTCAGTGAGTTTTGACAATCATTTTTTGACAATTTTTCAGTTATTTTGCTGTCTTCTTGCTCACCCATGCTCACTCTAAGCTATAGCTTAACTGCAAAACACATTATTAATGGCTCATCTTTATTGCAAAGTACAGTTTTAACGCACAGTCCAGGCAGGTTTTAGGAGGTGTACCATCACTGCCTTCTAAAAGAATTGGTTAAATTTCAAGATTTTTTTTTTTTTTTCTGTATGGATTACATTGACACAAACCTTGTGCTAATTACCCCTGTTACAGTAGCCCCACTTAAGAGGAATGCAGGTATGATTGAGGCTGCTAGCTGTTAATTTTCATATACCTTGCTGCTGTAGCTGCTTATTTTATTGGACTTACTCTCCAAAAGACTAACTTTAAGTACTGCTTTAGATTGTTAAAGGTAAAATTCTGAGGAGGATAGACTGGCTGCGGGTTTTTCCTTTTTTTTTAAACGATCTAGGTCTGGAGAAATTAAGCATAGTTTTCACTGTAAAGTCAAGCAAACATGAAACCATCTCTAACCTTAAACACATAGTTTGAGTTATTTTAGGTTTTTAGAGGGCTATCAATATCTCATTTGTAGTGATTAACAAAACTTCTTTATTTGGTCCAAGCAGTGTTTCGTTTTCATCAATTAGTGACAATAGTCAGAGCAATGGCTGCTACATACTCTATGATAAACTATTTTTTTCTTCCACCCATATTTATGAGCACAGACTGACACCATTTTATTCTTAAAACTCTGTCTTGGGGGTTCTTGTTGCCTCTTCTGCAGGCAGGTAGAAAAAAGAAGAGATTATTTTTCTGTATTGTTTTCGGGTTGGAATTTTATCTAACTGTTCTTGTTCCGTAATCTTAAAAAATATTGAATCTTAAGGCAGTTTTTTTTTATAATTTAAACTAAGATTGCGGGGAGATATGAGTAGCTTACCAGCAGCCTTTAAAACTAAAACAAAATAAGAGTCTTTGAACAAAGATATTTAAAATTAAGTTCTGAGAAATTATTTGAAGTAATCAGCAGCCTTTACTCCAGCCTTTTAAGCTGCAAAAGTTTGGAAAAAACAGTTGAGTTATTAATAGTAAGTGACGCAGAGAGAGCAGAGATAAGCTCAAGGTGGACTTATTTTATACCTCCACAGACGTTGATCTTTTTGTTTAAGTTATTTTCTATGATAGAGTAGGCCTTTTAAAAATGTTCAAGCTACGTTGTTCTCTGGCCCACAAGCCAATATCCTTAAGAGATTTTCATTGTTTTTTATGTATTCCATACATGTTTTCCTGGTGTCTTATTTGCACTGACTATGTCTAACTTGGAGGAATATAGATTAGCTCTATTTGGAGGGCAAATAACAAGACGAGCAGGTCCATATCTAATTTCTGCCATGGAAAAGAACTCTGAAAGATTTGTTTATAGTGAGGAGCTGTGGAGAGGTTATACAAAATAAATATCTTAAATTGTTGTCAACCATTTTAAGCAATCAGCTTAAAGAATTAGGAAAATTTTTGTTTTTTTTACCCAAGACTTAAAGCAACAGCTAATCAGGACGTTTTTAAGTAGATTTCTGCCATCTTAACACAACTCAAAAATCAAAAGGATAATTTTTAAACCGTTGTGATTGGCCAATTTTTTTTTTTTTTACCAACAGTGAATATCTCTTAGAATCCCTTAGAAAGCTTTTTTTTTTTAATGTAATTTTTGCATACAGAAACAATTTCCTTAAAAAAAACAAAATCAATTCCTTAATTTTTCTTTACACTGACACTCGGCAGTCAATAAGCTGGCTCTTACAGGTAACCGCCTCGAGAACTTTATTATTCAGTGCTTATTGCATTCATGTAATTTTATTTTTTTTTTAAACGTAGTATGTTGTCGGTTATCATATTAGTGCTCTGTTATGTTTACCACCACCACTCAGTAATAATGCTTAGATACGGTTCTCTGAAAGCAAAACGTTGTTTGTTCCTTTAAAGCCCGTCTAAATTTAATCACCAAGCAACTTACAGCATGGTGGTGAGTTCATCTTAACAGTAGTTCAGCTAAAAGGAGCCTGAGAGGTGGGAGAGGAAATTACACGATTCTTAGCCTATAAATAATGAGACTGCACAAGCTTGTCTTTGACCGTCTCCCCTCCCAGAATCATTTTTGCATATTAAACTGGTTTGGCTCAACAACAGATGTTTGTAGTGGAGTATGAGGTCCAGCAAAAACTTTGACTCTGTTTGAAATTATTTTTTTTTATATTTATCTCTTTCTTTGATTTGTAAAACAATTAGCATATGGTATTAATTTATGAAGATATCTGTTGAAAAAAACTAATAAATTGTGCATCAGATGATCCTATCTTACAAAAAGAATGCATTACTTAGAAACTTTCTAATGGGGGAAAATAACTTGTTATATTTATGGCATCAGTATTCTAACAATAAATTTATTAATTTTGAAATTCAATGGACAGGAAGACATGAAATATATCAGGAGTGGACCTCAAGGATAAAATATTTCCTTCATGTTATTGTTGCTCATACATCATCAATAAAGTGTGTGATGAGTTGGAAATTCAAATAAGCTTGTTTTGAGTTTTTTGTTGCATCCTTTCTTCACAAAGACTAACAGCTGTTTTTTTGTTCAGAATCTTAACTTTCTCGCATTCTTAAATTAATCACAAGGTTTGCTTTTTTTAGGATTTCTCTCAGACTGATATTCACAGACAACAGATAATTCAATAATTTAAGGTTTTGTTGCATGAGGCAATGTAAACACAGCATTGCCATAGTTTAGGTGTTTACAGTGTTGTACTGTTGCCGTTTGACCCAGAGGTCACATGAATGCAGCATCTTTAAACAGCCGTGTGATAAACTGTCAAGTTCTCCCATTGCTTGATGAAGAGAGGGAGGAAGACGAAGACTTGTCTGTTTCTCTCTGATCGCTCTCTTCTGATGGAACAACAGGGGTACTACATATAACAAAGACAGAAAAAGAAAAATATTATAGAATATAGGATGGAGAATAGTAATAATTCCAAATTGTAACAATATATTGTAAAGACTGTAAAGAGACAAGAGAGGAATGAATAAATATTAAAACAGTTATGGCTTTAGTTTATTCTGCAGTTGTTTAAAAAAAGGGTGAGAATACAGAAGCTTGTAATGGTGTCTGTACTGGTCAGAAAACCTCCAAAGAATAAAGCAGTTAATAAAACTAACATCAGCAAAAAAAAAAGAAGTTTTTTTTAGCTATATCTACCATAAACCTAACCATGTCTGCAGAAAATATGAACAAGAACACCTAACAGGTGAAAATGTACAAAAAAAGAATACAATGCATAAAAATGTTGTTTATAATTCTACAAATGAAAAACAACGTAATAATTCTTTCAAGTTGGAAATTTGGCTTCTGGTTGTTTTTGTTTGCTATTAAACCCTGAAATGTTTCAGTTAAAGCCTCATCCTGTTTGCATGTTTTTCCAAATTCTGTAGGTTATGGTTACAGTCGGAAGAGATCAATAATCAATAGTTTGATGTTAAAACACATTATCAGGGAACCAGAACAGTCTTAAAATATTAAAAGAACATAAAATATGTTTAAATAAGGCCAAATTGAAGTGCATGTTTTTACCTGTCTCCACTCTGAGTGATGAGCCTCCTGCAGGTCTCCATCTGAACATCCAGGCCTCTCTTCATTGAGCACATCTCCATGTACTCGTGCAGGTGCCGGTTCATGTCACTCTTGGCTGTGGCCAATTCCAGCTGGAAACACATCCCAAAGATTCAAATCCATAAAATCACAGCCAGTCACATTGAGCCCTGCTTAAAACAATAGTTTATTGGTTGAAGGGATAGAAAACACTGAATAAAAATCAGAAAAAAATGCAGTTATATAAAGCCTTTTAATTGCTATTTTATTAATATTTCACATTAAGTGTTACTGTGGGTTTCAAATGTGAATCTAACACAAGTAAAACATATGGAAAGCAGTTTTAGATCTCTGTTTAGATGACATATGGATGAAAATGGATAAAAGTAGCACAGAGGGCACACATCTAATTCAACATGTTTAAGTTTGAAAAGTGTCTGACCTCAATTTGGTCAATTGTCTCTTGGTATTCCTTCTCGCGGGACTTGAAGAGACATTCTGTGTCATTAATCACCTTTTCCAGACAGTCCTCCTCCCACAGACAAACACAGAGCAGCGACATTGTGAGAACCAGAAAAGAAATATGTAGAGGTGATAAAATGCAGTAAGCATAAAATGAGCCTGCTGTCAAATAATCACTGGACACTGAAGAGACAACCATCCAAGCATATAGCTTCCATGGTTGTTTTATTGTCAGATTCCACAAACACGGGTTGTTTAAAAGAAGAAACAGACTGTTCATCAACAATGAAGTGACTGCTGAATGAAATAAAACACCGACATGCTTTTATTGGGGGACCAACCACGCTGTGAAACAATAAAGCTTGTACGCATCACTAAACTGCAGCTGTCCAGGTGTTACAACAGACAGCTCATGACATCAGGACCTTAAAAACTTGATTTAAATCTGAAAACATACAAACCATTTTAATTAACTCTAATCAACTTAAATGAAGCAGGATTTTACATTTTGCTTCATAAAAATATTTGAATATTGTGATGTGGAAAGCTTTATATCAAAAAGAAGAGTTTTTAGATTTAAAGACTGATAGCAAACAAACATCCAACAGAATGATTACGAATTTTGCTGCAATTGAAAATTTAACCACATGCATATATATATTTTTTATTTAACGCAGCCTTGATCAGTGCAGATATATCTTAGGTTTCTAAAGGTCTTTCATCATTCTTCCTTGCATTTTTGATGCTTTCCAATGTTTTCATGTCTGGTATTAGTAATTAGTCAGGCATTTTTGGTGCTTAAAAAGATTAAGAAAGTGGAAAAATATATCATATCACTATTTGATAGTTAAATGTAAAAAAATATCTTTGAGCCCCCCAACAATTTAAAATCTTATATCACAAATTATGACTATATATTTCTATTGTCTTTCAAAGCAGCAAAGTATAAAAAGTGGTTTCTGAAATAAAAATAACTTTTTAATAAACGTCATACATGTAGCATAGATAATGTTACTGCATTGTCTGCAAATCAGAGTAATTACAGAAGAATGTTTGTTAAAACTTTCTTTAATGGTAAAGAACAGTTGTCAATTGGAAACACTTTTTACCCAAGAGACATGAACCAGCTGGAAGTATTAAAAAGAAATGATAATTCAAGCAGTAAGTCATCAGCCAAAGCACTGAGACAATGACAGATGCTGTTTGCTAGTAGAACATTTTATCAGTAGAGCTGCTTTATTTATGGAATGTTTTAATATGAGTGTTCCCTTTTATGACGAACAATCAGCTGCAAGCCACAGATTGCATACCGTAATTAACAACTACTTTCTTAAAGGTCTAGAGGAGGATGCTCTTTTTCCAGATGGATCATCTAAATAAGTGGTCCTCCTAATTGTCAATCATTCTGGTGATATGTTTACGTAAGGCCGTCCTACGTGCTCGTCCCCATTTCCCCTTACCGGTGGTGAGTCTGACACAGTGGACAAATTGCAGTCTTCTTTTGGAAAGTAAGCCGCAAACACCAACTTTTAAACAGAGCGTGCACGTGGGTTTGTGCATGCTCTGTGCCTGTGTTTAATAGACGTTCCCTCTCTGGAGGGTACAGGAGTGTGCATGTGCATTTTTTTTTTTAAGTGGAGAGGGCGAATCTGTTTTATAAATTCACGAAAATCCTCCACTATACCTTTAAAACAACTTTCCTGAATGTTGAAAAAATGTGATTAGATGCAGCAGTTAGTTGTTACATTCCAAGCTAAAGGAATTAGAAAACTGCAACTGTTGTATCAGTATTTTTACTCTCCTTTTGAAGAAGAAAACAAGAAAACAAAATAGGTAGAGCATGAACTTTAAATCACCAAACCATGTATTACAATGATTTCAGACAAACCCATAGAGTTTGCCTGTTGGGGAAGAAAGCTTTGTTAAGGTTTTCTTTTTTCCAGCTACATTTATCTTCATTACAGTAGGTGAAGATAATTGAGACTAAAACTGCAGCTAGTGATTCTGGTGACAGCACCACCAAGAGAAATGGAAGTGCTGATATCCATGCACATTATAGCACATTAAACCCATGAACAGTGCTAATCAGAACTGGGCTAAAATTGCAGAGATCACTGAGTCCTGACAGAATTTTAGTATTGGGTTAATATGCTATATTTTTTAAGTCATTAGTTTCACTGCAGTGAACTACAGACAGATAGGAGACACTACTGCTAGTTTGATATATCTACAATTTGCTTTCAGAAAACTATCTAAACCACTTATAGGAAAGGGGGCGGGACATCAGCAGCACTGTTTTGACACTACCTAGATAATGAAAAATCCTAAAAGCAAAACCCCAAAGAAGAACTTTAATTGAGCTGCTAAACAGTCAATTCACTATAAAGACCAAAACACCCATGGAACATTTGAGTCAATATGTAAATAAATAAAGGATGTCCAAACTTTTAAACAGCAGTGTATGACAACCTGAATTTACAGTGAAGCCTTCATCTTTTTAAACCATATTCATGTTTAACATTGGGACTGTTTTTTAAAATAACTTTACAGCTTACCTCTCCTGGTTGGTGGGTCGGATCGGGAGGTAGAGTGCATCCTGGGAAATCCTCCCAAAGAAGAAGTGTCTCTTCAGTCTCCTCCCATGCCAGACTATCACAGTCATCCTCAAATTCACATTCTCGTCTGTGATAACAAAGATTAAACATGCATCATATTGTTATTATTAAAACTGGATGGAGTTGCACTCTGACATTTGTCTTCTGCAGGCCACTCACAGTTGGGTCAGCATCCTCTGCATCTCCTCGTTGATCTGATTGGCCGAGGAGCCAAAGTGTTCCTCTTCTTTAGCCACGCCCATCTCGCTTTCGGTGTTGACGGGTTCCTCACACTCAGTCCCGTTAATTGACAGGGGGGTTGGTTTACGCCTGATACTTAGAGTGGATTGGTTGTTTGGGACCTGCAATGACATGACCACAGTTAGATTTAAGTGATCAAACAAACATGTTGATAAGATTATATGGAAGCAGGCATCTGAGCACCTGATACATTTGGATCACATCTTCACAGTTTCTCTGCTGTGCGACATCACACAGACGAGCAGTGATGTCGATTCGCCGGCAGATGTCCATGTCCACCTTCATGGCTTTCTCCTGGATTTTCGTGTCTAGCTCAGACAAATTCTGTAGAGGACAAAAAAATAACTTTCCAAACTTATGCGGGGGGGAAAAAACAGCAGAAGATTTAACCCAAATATTTCTGCTCTTCTAACAGAATATTTCTTAAATGTTGGTACAAGAACTTAGCAAATTAATCCCATAAACTTTTTTTTTTCTTTTATTCGATCAAAACAAAAATCCACTGTATATATATTTTTTTACTTTTCAATGATAGAGCAACTTAATGTGTTCAGTTGGGAGGTGGAAGTCAAGCACATTTAGCTCCACTTACTCTAATACCCCTAAATAAAATTCATCATAACCAACTATTTCATAACTAACCTAATTAACAAATACGGACAGGTTATTTATTATCTGTTTAGCAGAAGCCATTCTGAGAAGAGGTTTGTTAGAGCAAGAAAAACAGTCAAGAGGCTAAGAGTTGCTCTGCAGGAGCTACAGAGATCCTAAACTCAGGTGGGAGAATGTGTGGACAAGATAACCATTAGCTACTGACTTCACAATGCAGAGCAACAAGAAGTAAACAAGAATGGTAATCCAGAGGATTAGGGGATATCACAGATATGTGGAAGAAGGTGCTATGGTCAGATGAGACCTTTTTATTCCAGCAGGTCAAAAACACTGAGCATGCAGTGAAAAAAGGTGGTTTGGATCAAAAGTTAAAGTTCAGACCAAAATCTAAATGAGAATCTGTGGGAAAGACTTATAAATTGTACAGATTAAAATGTATGACAAAGGTTTTTTTTGTTTTTTTTTACTTTTAAAAAGTTTTTATAACAGTCACATATAACATAAGTAACTCAAAGAAATTACAAATATCTAAGAGGTACAAATACATTTGAAAGGCCCAGAATTTATTATTCAGTATTTATTAAGTGTCTCTTATCTAATAAACATGTTGAAAAATAAATACACATATTTTCTAAAGTAAAAGAATTCCTACTGATACAAAAGGAATGATTATCCCATGACTGTATCGATTCTGCTCACATTGCTCATGAGGCCTTTGAAGAGAACCAGCTCTGCCTTAAGCTGCTGCACTCTAAGAGCCAGTTCGTCCTGACAACCTTCACTCTCCTGCAGGTCCTGCACATATAAGAATAACCAGAGACAAGATTAATTCAAACACCTACAGAGATACCCTGTGGTGTTACATGCAAAACAAAAGATGGCAAGAACATGTAAGCTTTTCAGTCCCTGCAAAACATACAATAACACTCTAGATGCATGCTGAGTTTTGGAGAAGTTGCCCTTCTTCTGAAATATGGCGACCATGGTCATCTTTCTGGAGGGGGGCTTTTTGCTATTTGCGGTTGAACTAGCTGCCTTCTAAATGGGGTCAAGAGGAAGATTCCTGGCACCGGTGCATGTAAGTATAAAGGAGCTCGCATACACAGGAAACCAAAGACAAAATCTGCATAACACACAACTGTAGGAAGTACAAATAAGGTAATCTAAAGCATAGAGATTAGTATCTAAGTTAGAAGTAAGACTTCCTTTGTGACAATGTCTTCTTTTAGGAAAAAAAAAGTGAATGATTTAAAAATGAATACGAAGGAGGGTGAATGGAAAATATGAGTACCTCAAAGGGTGTGGTTCATTGCTCATTAGACTCAACCTGTAGCTTTGGTATCATCCTTCCAGCCAATAAATTAATTCAATAAATCACTTAACTAATTTCATTACCGCTACCTAAACTGACAATTGAAATTTCAAACTAAATAGCCGTGCCAAAATCCCTTTTATCGTAATTTACCTGAGATTTTCTGTCTAAAGCCAACAACACTCTTCAGGTTGAGTTTTCGTGTGAAAATATTAACAATTTCAGGCAAGATTTTTGTTTAAACATGAGGCAGCATAGCGTTACCTCTTGAAGATCGGCTATCTTCTGTTGCAGATCCATCCTCATTGTGTATTCTTCCTCCCATCTAAAAGACAGATATATGAGTTTATGGAGGAGTTTCCGCCAGTTTATATATCAAACATCTTAAATCAGACAAATATTCAATGCAATGACATAGATTTCCTCTCAAACATCATAGTAAGCAACACGTCTGCCTAATCCGGTGATCTAAATTGTTACTTCTCTAAACATTTTAGGTGATTTTAAGCATCTGAGTGCAAATTTGTCCAAATCATCTTGACAAACTCTTTACCACAACGCATAACTCCACATGTGATGTAACAGAAGTAATAGCTTAAAGCTGGCCTCCTGATGGCATTGGGAATGTTTTTCTATTCAAGTATAAATTCTAAAAAAAATAAAAAAAAAGTGATAAGATGAAAATTGGATATTTATCATTCCTATTTCTATATACATAGTTTGAACTCCATAATCCACAATGAACACCTCTCCATTGTAAGAGGAGTAGAGGGATGTAACAAATAACGGAACTTTAAAAAAAAAATGTTTCTGTGAAATAGAGATTAAAAAGGGTCGGCTTATTTCGCCCCCTGCCCTTAACGACACAATTAAAGAACTGCTGGTGGAATCCTTGCGTGACAGGAAAATTTTATGCCAACTTCAGATGGAAACTCATGATCTCCAAGCGTTCAGTTGGCACCACATCAAGAACAGTCATTCAGCAACAGCTCATATTGTAGACAGAGATATGGGGAAACAAATGCAGGACAATAAACTATAACGGCTCATTAAAATACACAATCCAGGTCAAAGTTGTACACACACTTAAAGGTTATAGCAGCATAAAAAAATGAGATAGCAAAACCACACAAGCATTTCAGCCTCCTCACCTTCTCCAAAAATTATTTAGGTGAAGCAGTTAGAAAAACAGTGGCCTTCTTACACAGATTTCATTGACAAGCTGTTTTATTCATGGAAGAATTTGCAGAAAAGTTTTAGGCAGGTTTTGGTTGGAAAACAAAATCCAAAGCTTTAAACATCTCACGGGGCATTGATTCATCAATCACGGTATATTCTGGTCTTTGAACAGCCCATGATATGAAAAAATGTATGTTAGGGGATGCTCTCCATCACAACTGACTGAGCTTGAGCTGTTTTGGATAAATAATAGGCAAACACACAAGAGACATACCCCCAAAAGACTTGGAGCTACAACTATTGACTCAGGACGGCTGAATACAAATCAAAACAGTTAAGAAACTGAAAACATTTTATTTATTTAGCTAAAGTTATTAGTTGTGATAATGCATAAAATGAAAAATATCAAGGCCCACTTTTGGTTCACATTAGGCCGTAAAGGAATGTAAACAACCAATGGGAAGGAAAACCAAAAAAACAATCCATGTCTGAACATTTTGGGCTCTTAATGTGTTGAATGGGGCTTAAAATACTTGATTTAATTTTTAGTTGCGAATAAAAGGACATTTCTGAAGACAAATAAAGAAATATACATAGACTTTTTGGTTTTGAAAACACTATGCTAAAATAAAACTTTACTAGAAATAATACAATTACTTTTTAAATCTACAGACAATATATCGTTATTCCAAAACAAAGTACAAACTTTATCAAGAAAAGGAATAACTGAGGTTTAAAGTGCATTTATTTCATGTTTCATGAAAAGAAACAACCACGACTAACAGAAGAAGTAGACGAGAGCTAGAAGTAAACTGTAGCTTTTTCCAACTTTGTGAATGAATATTTGTGTGCAGCTGCTCACATGATTGACTCATAAACTGTAATACACTGAAAGCCACAGTGTTACAGCTCACATGGCTTGGCCTTGCACCTCATAAGCACATGAGGGAAAATCCGTGCTCTGCATTCTGCAAAAATCTCTGTTCAAATTGCAAAATGCTGCAGAACGCTTAACCCATCAGGGAATACTAAATCTGAAAGGATCTGACTCATGAAACAGGGGCTACTTCGTATGGGGGACGCTTGTCTGATAGGCGCAAAGTCGAGGAGTGCTGAGGCCCCCTCCTTTGAGCTGTTACAGCTTTGCAGTGCATACTGCATTGCAGATACTGTGTGTGTGTGTGTGTTGGGGGGGCTGCGCAATGGAAGAAAATGTCTGCAAAGGAGAGGAAGTGGGATGTTTGCGTCTGCTTTACTCTAGTAAAGGCTGAGGTGGTAACCTCAGTGGAGGGAAGTAAGGGGCAATAAGAGAGAAAAGGGAAGGTACTTCGCATAAACTACCTCAAGGCCTCGATGACAGAGGCTTTGATCCGACCTGCATTAACCTTGCTTCTATTTAGACAGTAAAAAACAATCATCTCAAAATCTGAAGATCTCAATGCAAACTGACTTGGGCTCTCATAAGTTGGACAAGTATTTAGTCAGTCTATAGTTTCCATGTGCAAAGAAACCAGAAGACCGAGCAATGTCAAATTACTGAGTGGCTGCAGTTGTCCCTCTGCATTCGTCCACAAAGAGCCACTGTAATGTGGTCAGGATAGTCTGAAGAATGCATCACTGCTCGCTGGGACACAATGCAAGGGCAACGCGCTGATGAATGTGCAGGATCATGAGGCCTCTTGAAGGTCACCCAGAGAAGACAATAACTCTGTCCAATTACTGAAAATAGGAAAGAGTGTGCCATCTTGATTCCAGCTGGACGTTGAAGCATGTCGACTTTAAGTGATAGAGATTTCTGTTAGATTCTGTTAAAGGAGTAAATGAATAACTCTCTTAATTCAGAATAGAGTATGGTTACCTGGTCTAATGGGCTAAAGATAAAAGTTAGTAATACTTTCACCATCTTAAAATGTAAAATACTTAATTTTCTATTAAAAGAAAATCTAATGAGCAGGACAAAAAAAATCATACAAATAAACCCTAAAATGTACAAGACCACAGCAAAAACAATAAAACAATTCTAGCATTGGTAATTGTTTTCAATATTCTTGATCTTTTAATCCCTTGTCCAAGTTCTAATGAATGTTTTTATTAAAAGGCAAAAGGAAACTGGAGACATGAGGCGGTGCATCACCATTGACCTTCCTGTGTGGAACACATACAGAGAAGTCTTTCAAACTCATACAAAACGCTAATCCGGCCGTTGTCTTCTGTTTATTGAAATTTAGGTTGCCTTAGTACAAGACTCCAGAGGGAAAGACATCCTTCTCCAGCTCTTTGTGGAGGATTCCAAAATACTCCTACATCAGGAAGGATATGCAGAGACTAGTGGTCGCTTAGAACAAGAGACAAACTCTTTCTAACTGGTGCGAATCTGCTAATAGAACATAGAAAAAGACAAATGCCTTTGATGGGAGCCAGAGTCAGGTACCTCATGGGTACAGCAACCATTGATGTAGTATGTTAAAAACATTGGTGTTTAATTCTGATAGGTCAAATTCAAGAGGAAAAAAGTCTTAATAACAAGATCACTGAATTTAAGTAGGTCAATAAGGCTTCAGCCTTTGAGTTGATGCCATGAACTGTGAGTATTTTTTAATATTACCAGGATGTGTTAATAGATCTAGGTCTACAACGGTGCTGTTAAGATGTTGTTATGAGAGCTTCTGTTTGCTGAGGTATTGGAATAACATTAGTGACATTAGTGTGGTACTAGATCAGTGTGGTTAATTAATATTTTACAAAAAGACCAGATGAAGCTTGGAGAGCCAAGCAAGACCTGGAGACATTTTTAATGACATGGCTCCAACTTGGATCTCCAGTAAGCGATGTGGACAGCAAACTAGTTTATTTACAGAATTAGTTAAGAACTACCTTTAGCTCAAACAATGGTTGAGAACTAGAACAAATTGGATGGAAATTTCCCAATAGTCCCTTCCATAGGTTCTTGGTCTACCCAGGCTTCCCATTCATGGCCCATTTCTCATCCCAATAGCTTGGGGTCAGGACAGAAACAGACGGGTAAAACAGGGGCTTCTCCTTTTGGTCAGCTTTTTCTTCACCCTGACACACTGGCGCATAACTTAACTTATTGCCAAGAAAACCGCAATTGATCTACCATTCGTCCTAATATAGTTTGTGAACAATTAATTTGTAATCCAATTTTTGCAGCAAGAACTGAGTCTCTTTTTTGTCTTTTGTCTTTATTTTGCTTGTTTGTGTGTCGTAATTGCAGAGGCAGCAATTTCATGCTGTTCTTCTATATGAATGTGTTAATAAAATTAGTGGAAGAGATGTCGGAGGTCTGCTCCGGGCTTGGCGCTTAATCTTCCACCTCTTATATCAAGAAATTGGTATGATGTGGCTGCAGACTCTAATGCCGTGCAACATGAGACCCTTTTCAGTAAATACTTGATAGTCCAACCAGAGCATCTGCAGAGATACAGAGCTCAAGTTCTCAAAAAACTAAAAATGAAAAAAGACTGAAAGGGATGAGGCCAGAGGACCTCTGGATTAGAAGGTGCAGTTCGGCTCCACCGTGCTGTTGCCCTCACAAGGGTTCCACAAGACACCTCACATGGTGATGTGGCTTGGCACCACCACTGTGTTGAGGACAAAAAACCACACCACACAGGATTTCTTTCTCTTTCCTTGAAGGTGCCCAGGGGTTCACATTGGTAGAGGAAGCTATCGTGGAAACACAGGCCAAAGGTCCAGATCTCCGAAATGGTTAACATTTCAGAACCAACTTACTGCAAAACAGACCATTTGCAACATTTCTCTCTGAGTTTCAGAACTGACAGATTTGGACTGGAGGTAAGAGACTCCTAAAGCCCCTGTCACACCTTGACGATTTTTTTCTTATGTATGACTGACATAAGAAAAATCTGGCAAAAACGCTGATATATGTTGGATAAGTTATGGGTCAGTTTTATATAAGATATCAGCATGCTGAAGCACGCTGGCATACATCGATAAATGGCAAGTACGTTGAGAAATTTGGAGCATGTTCAAAATTTCTTGACATATGCCAGTGTATGCTCATACGTGGGCCATAAGTTACAGGTAAATTATTTGATCGTTGACATATGTTAAGTGTAAGTTACTCATAATTCATGATGTCTAGCTTATCCAAAACCTATGAGTAACTTGTTCTTAACTTATGCGTAACTTATCAATGACTTATCTCCAACGGATATTAACATATTTGACGTGTTCCAGATCACCACTGAATGTGTTTCCAGCATACAGCTACTGTTTAATGCTGTATTGGCAGCGTTTTGGTACAAAGGAGGGTTCACTGGAGGAAAGCGTCAGTACTCCTCCAGACTTCATCCCCATCATAGGGTGAAGCGAGAAGGTGAGTGTGATGCGTTAACGCACAAGGCCACGACCAATAAACTTCCTAGCAGACATTACGCGGAATCCGCTGTGACTACAAACCTTCTTTCTTTCCTTTTCTCTCTTCTTTTTATATATTTATCCTTTATTTATTTATTTTTTGGTGGATGGCAAACAGCAGCTAGGTCAAACCCGCGATCAAATAAATCTTTTTATGCAGGCCGGGCGCCTCCAGGAGCATTGCTGCCCCCCTCAGGACACTGGTTTGTGACATTTCATGGGCATTAAGCTGCTGTGTGTTGTGCATAACTTAGGCTGTCGTTGGAAAAACCTTATGAAAACTCTATATATATGCCCAAAATTGGAAAAAACACATCGAAAGTCCAGCGTATGCCAGTGTTTTACAAGATTCTGGGACAGGGGCTTTATGAAGCTCTTCCCTGATGTTTACCAGGCTGGGACAAAGGAACCTCTCATGTGTGTGGCCTTCTGCTATGCTGCTAAGTGCTGGAGGAAAACTCAAGCCTTCCAAATAGATTAACAGACGTTTGCAGGTCTGGCACCATTAGGGACAGATTCTCCAGTTAAACAATAGGTCTTTTGATGATTTTGATCATTTCCTGTGTTTAATGTTAAGTAAAGACAAAGCTAACAAGATGGATCACATGGTATGCTATGGGACAGTAACATGTCTTATTTGTTGTTTATAAGGCTAAAACAATTTTTATTTCACTAGGGGGTTTAAACAATAATATGACATTAATGTTTATGTGTTTTCTTATACCCTCATTACATTTTGATTACCAAATTATGATCCAAAGTAATTCAATCGAATCCCCATGTGTGGTAGCTGCTAGTTTGAACATATTCCCCTTGATCTAAATTAGTAAAAAGCCAATTTGATCACATCCCAAATTCTTCAAGATAAACTTTGCTTCTCAAACACAAAATTCATGCTAAATTGTGATGTTATTGCGTCATCTCATTGATTTTAGCTTTCAAACATGTTTTTGCTTCTTCTTAGAAAGTAGCTTAGTTTAGTTGAGTTTCACTAGTTTTTGTCAACGTAGGGGGTTGAGGTTTCTTGAATACCCAAATGTAGAGATGAATTCTTGTAGGTTTAATGAAGAAAAGGTGAGGAAAACATCCAAAAACACAAAAATCCTGAGAACTAGTGATGGTATGAGATGAGCAGAGGCTTCAAGGCGTGTGTTGATTAATAAAGGGGGCGTTTCCCTGAAGTGTGTGTCGAGGTGTTATTCATTTAGGGGCGGGGCCAAAATAGATGACGTCCAAGCCTCTCTACCGCAATGCCATGTGGCCGCTGCAGGAAGTGGTTCTGACCGCTCGAGAACTTCGACAGGCATTTAAACAGCCTCACTACTCAGTCAAGATGTGGGAGTTTGTAGGAGAGTTACTAACAGTTGAACAGAGTTTGGATATATTCTAAGAATGGATTGGTTCGAAAAATAACCAATCTAGTTGTTTGGTTCTATTTTGGTTAGATTAAACAATGTAATGAATATAAATATATGCAAGGCACCATTGCTAGTTGAGTCAGCTGTAAGACATTGACTTGACTTCCACTCCTGAGGTTGTTGGTTCGAGACCCACTATAGACTTTTGAAAGCTGTGATAATACTTAACAAGTTTTTGGCGTATGTGAGTAATTTGTATTGGTTTGCCCTTGTACAAATATAAATTGGCTAAAAACACTGCCAAATGAGATTGGTTGGTTCAACCAAAAGATTGGTTGAACACATAAACTCAAATCATATTAAAACCAAAGACTGAGGAAAAACTATTATGTTTGAATAAAAATGACCAACACCTTTCATTTTGCTCTGATGGAGTGTCAATCACAGCTCTCACACGCTGAATCCCCCCCCCCTTCTGGTCGCATGCGGTAGCCGCGCAGATGCTGTGAGAGGGGTGGAGCTTGGAGGTGGGGCATGAGTGAAGCAGAGAGGGTGGGGGAGTGGCGTGAAACCTGTTTTTCTTCAAATTTTCAGTCGAAGTCTGCTCTCTTCTCAATGTTACAGACTGCAGCTTTAAATAGGGGAAAAAAATCCAAAAAGAACAATCGCAAAAAAACACAGATTATGTTACTAGCTGTAGTTATGCACTCCACCAGTAGGTGGTGACATGTTCACGTAAAGCTTCATGAAGTGCGGGGATCATTGAAGCAATATGGCCAAATGCCTCATGAGGTTTCATCTCACCATCACTACTGAGAACCAAAAACCAGCAAACATCAGGGAAAACTCGCGTGGGGAGCCAGAGACGAGGAAGCAACAAAGAACAAGGAACCAGAACTGAAGAACTGCACAGGGAGAATATAAATGGGAGACAGAACAAAGACTTTGGTACTCAACTGATATGGAGCAGATGTGGATGGAAGAGACTAGAAGGGAGCTAGGGGAAAGGAGACAGGCACAAGGGGGCAACAGAGAGTAACTTGAGACTGCTTAAATTAACATAAATTGGAAAATAAACCAAAGATAAACAAAACAGAATTATTTATAATTGAAAAATAAAAACTAAAAAGTCCCAAAAGGGGAAAATCATAACAGCTTTAGTCATGAGTTTTTAACTGAAATATGTTTGACTTGGAGCTGAATGATATTTGCTGATAAACTCTTATATTTTGAATGGAAGCAATTTATTCTATATACACGCAGAACTATCTGTTTCAACATGATTTGAGCCTGATATACACATATTTGTTGTTTTAACACACTGCCAGTACGACACGTGTTGATAAACAATATATGACAGTCTGAATGAAATCTGATAAAATAACATATTTAAACACATTTAAAATAAATATACTCAAGTTGCACAACATAATCTTCTAACAGAGCCCCATATAACAAACCCTAAATTGTTTATTTCAGGAGAGTCACATTGAATGTAAACTTTTGTTCTGAGGGATCCCTGCTAAAATGACTTCATCTCACAGCTGTGGCCTAAATTAATTATTTTTTTACTAACAAAACAAAGTTAGGATAGTAGCTCATTTGTTTTGTGGATCAAGTCCAATAAACATCAGCTGTAATTTAGAAAGACGCAACACCACCTGGCCTTTCTGCAATCTTAACACTCATTCAGTTTATATTTAGCTCCTCACATGTGCATATTTCCTCTGCCTTTTGTAGCAGCACCACCTGCCGCTGTGGTGAAATCATGAGGTGAATGCAGACCAAGCAGGAGGTGCAGGACAGACAAGTTTTGTGCTGACTTTACAGAGGAGCTGTCTCCTGCTGAAGACAGCTGATCTGCAGCTGCTCAACAGCCCTGATCACTCATTAAAAGCAACCATGGCACAAAAAAACAGGAAGTAGTTCTGCAAGAGAGTATTTACAATCAGACAAAGTTGAAAAATAAAAGTGTTTTTTTTTTGGTCATCTTACCTTCGTTTATATTCATCTCTCTCTCTCTTCACTTTAGCCAGGACATTGTAGAGGGCTCTTATCTCAGGGGTGATGGTGTCAATCTGGACCCCAACTCCATCCGGGTGCATCCAGGATACCCCGGGGCTTGGCAGGCGCTCTGCCCCAGGGCCAAACTTGCGGGTATGGTTGTAAGACCAGATGGTCCCCGGCAGGAACCGTGGAGGAGGGTTGGTGGAGATGTGTTGGGTTCCTTTGGTTGACACCGGAGAATCCACACAGGGGGAGGACTGGCTGATGGTGATGGTTGGGTTGCAGGTTGCATTGGTTTGGGTTAAAAAGGAGTTTTCAGTAGCTGCTGGTGAGAAAGTTGTTGCAGATGATGGTGGAAACAGGCTTGTGGGCCTCCTTGCTGAGTTGTTAGTGTTGTGAAATGGAAGAGAGCCTGGTCTGAGTGGGATGGTCCCCACAAACCCAGTTTGCACACCTGCCTCCTGGGTGTGCAGTTTGTTCTCACAGCATCCATCCTGACAGCTCTTGTTGGCATCCAGCGCCTGCTGCAGCTGCTTCTCCAAAATTTTATTCCTGCGCTCCAGTTCATGCACTTTGGCCAAAAAGCATCGGAACCTGAGGTTAAGGGTCTTCAGCACGCTGATGTTGGAGCCCAGGTCGTTCCTGAGGGCCATGGCTGCAGGGGGGTGCGGCTGCTGCTGCGGCGGCACTGCGCGGTGCTGGTAGGGGCCGCTCTGGGCGTGGTGGGGGTAAGGAGAGGTCTGCGGCTGTCCCGGCAGGTCGGGCCCCGGTGCCAGCTGATCGGACAGAAGAAGAGACGCCGGGTCCGGTCCGCCAAACGCGGCTTCGGGAAGGAGGACAGAGGGGGAGTCCGGGTGTCCGGGGGCCTGGCTCTGCTGCTGGGGATGCGTGTTGGCCCCCAACAAAGGATTCATGCTATGGTATTTAAAACTAAAGCGCTGCAGATCTGGCATGAACTCGGGCGGATAAATGTCTTCCTACAGCAGAATATTGTTTAAGAATAAACTATGTTTTAAACAGAAGGAAGCCTTCGGAAACACAGCAACACGCCACTGTTTGCCGGTTTATGTAAGCGTTTATAAATAAAAACCTGATCCTTAAAGCCCGGAGGTCTTAACGTCAACTGCTGCTGCTGGATCCCTATAATCTCTTTACGGTCCTCAGCGAAAACCAGCAGAGGTGGAATCTACCAAACACTAGGAGATGCTCTGCAAAAAGAAACAGAAAGAAATGAAAGAGAGAAGAGGCAGCAGATGAATGAACGACAAACAAATGCAGCTTCTCACTCCTTAATGGAGTTCAGGCTGAAAGATGTAACCGCAAGCAGGAAAAGGTGCTGCGGGATTGGAGGATCATCCTACCGTAAACACGCGAATAAAGGAGCACAGAAAAACTCAAAACGTCAGTAGTATTTATCAGAGGTGGGTACGGTACCCACATTTTTTTTTCATTGCAAAGAAATAACATACATGTGCAATATAGAACATTAATAATTACAAACATATACAACAACAAAGGGCTTTACAGAACAGAAATATTATTTTTAAAATGGCAAAATCAAGTCTAATCTATGCTCAAGGGTTATAATTCTTTATGGGCAGTTATGATACATGGCTTTAGCATTTTAATTAAATTATAAGGATTCTATATAGATATTTATAGAAGATAATAAAAAAAGAGGTTATTGTTGTAAATATCTGGAGGTATGAATATGATATTTACCATAAATAATAATAAAAATAAAAAATGTATAATACATAAAAATTATCTTTTGAAAAATTCACATTTCTCCATCCCAAACAAAATATCCTTATCTGTTAAAGTAATGTTAAGATTTTTTTTTTTGAAAAATTGGCCGGTTTTTTCCGGATTTTTTTGTTTTATTTCCATTCCCAAAAAGGTTGATTAGGTTTTTTTCTTTTTTTTTACAAAAAGTACACATTGGGTCCAAAGCCCATTTATATATTCTTATCAAAAGTTATTTAACAGGATAAACATTATGAATAATTTTATAAGAAATTTCTCTTACTTTATTGTTTATTAATTATTTTTTAAGGAGCAACCAAGTCCACTTCCAATTTATATTTTCAAAAGGGTTGGACCAATAAAATATACCAGCTGGTGAAAAAACAACATCTTGTAATAGAATATTCTTAACCTTTTTTTTGTTGTTTTCTTACTTATAAAAAGACAATCATGATCAGTATAAATGGAGTTTGGATCAAAACTTGGCACTGAGTAAATTTGACATGTGGGTAAAGATGATAAAAGCTTTAATGACCCACTAGGGGTTGCGTTAAACACAACATCATATTCTTTGTGGGTAGCAGGAAATTGGAAAAGTGACACCAAGTCAGAGTAAGACAATAAATGATCATTTGGATTTAGTAATTGGCTCACAAGTTATATTCCCCTATGGTACCCAAAAATTATACTTAAGCAAGAGTAGCACTACTTTATCATACTTTTACTCAAGTAAAAGTAGAATTTAATGAAATTTCCCAAGTAAGCATAGCAAAAAAATTGGATTAAAATGGCTACTCAAGTAAGTTTCTGAGTAACTGATCTACCTACCTCTGATGAAGGGATTTATTATTTTCAAAATTATGTAAAATTGAACAAAATAAAAGTGTAATGCAGATTTTGGTGTTTCATAAAATAAGATAGAAATAAACATATAATTTACAGTAAGAAGTAAATAAACAGTTTAGGTGGAATGAACACTCTTCAAAATGTTTTTTTTTTTTTGCAATAAAACTTACAAAATCAATAGGTAGGGTATTTAAGATCAGGTTAATTTACAGTATACAGCATACTGTATGTTCACTCAACCTCCGATTGCAACAGCAGAATCAGCAGATGGAAAATAACATCAAAGAATAATCCTTGAGAACAAAAAAAAAGAAAATGTGTCTCTCAGAGAAAACAACCTGATCCTGAACGGGGAGAAGCCGAAGGAGATCATTGTCGACTTCAGGAAGAACAGGCCTAACCACGCTTCACTGCTCATCGGCAGCTCAGCTGTAGAGGTGGTTAGCAGCACCAAATTCCTGCGGGTGCACATCACAGACACCCTCACCTTGACTGTAAACACCACCTCACCACCACCTCACCACCACCTGCGGAGGATAAGGAGTGCCCACCTGCCCCCACCCATCCTCACAACCTTCTACAGAAGCACCATAGAGAGCATTCGGACCAGCTGTCTCACTGTGTGGTTTGGAGGCTGCAGCGCTTCAGACTGGAAAAATGTGAGAAGGGTGGTGAGAACAGCAAAGAGGATCATCGAAACTCCTTCCCCTCTGTTTAAGACATTTCATCCAAGCACTGCGTGTCTTGAGCCCATAACATCAGTTACCCCTCACACCCCCACCATGGACTGTTACCCCTGCTGCCCCCTGGGAGGAAGCTTCTCAGCATCTGCTGCAGGGCCAGCAGGTTCTGCAACAGTTTCTCCTTCACTGCCATCAGACTGCTAAACTGTTGAAAAAACTCTAAATTAAGTCCAAGATTCTGCATCACATTGATAATACCAAACCAAAATACTGCACATTTGCACCATATATATTTCCCTTGAGATGCTCTGAACGTCCATATAAATCCTTGTTTTTTGATCACTGCTGCACTTTCTGAAATGAAAATATTCATTTTACTGCTAAGCTGCTCATTCACTGTCTGAGCGCTGTATAAAACAAAATTTTGTTTTGTGCACACTCTATGTATTCACAATGACAAAAGTTGTCTAAGTCTAATGGTGCATATTTGTTTCAAACAAGCTTGTTTTTATTTCGGAAAGTTATTCAAAATAGCAAAAAATTGTAGTCAAATAAGAGTAGTGATACTTTATTTTTAGTGAAATAAAAGTAAAACGCTGTAAAACTACACCTAAATGGTTTTTGTGTTTTTTCAATAAGTTTTTCGAGATAATATAGCTGAGTATGCAAGGGAAGATTCTCAGTCATCCAGGTCATAGTCATTCCAAAAACGTTAATAAAAAAAAAAAAACAATCCACTGGACTTGGACATTTTGAATTGAAAAAAACTATCTGGATGGGAAGGAAAACGTCTTCAAACTTGGAAAGAAATTCCAGTGGATTGTTTTTTTTTTTTTTTACTTTTCTGGAATGTAGTTGGGTAAATGTGGATATAAATACTATCCACCGCTAGTATTTATATCCATTATTCATTTTCAAGTTACAGTTATAAACCTGTGTTAAGTCCGCTTGTTTATTTTAAGTATGTGATTAACAAATATGAATTTCTATTCAGAACCGTTTAGCATAGTTTTTCCTGGAAAGAATATGAAACAAGCCTCAGATGACATCACAATTAAAAATGTTATATTGCCTCAATAAATTTTTATATGAAACTTGCACACTGAAGACAAAGGCAAAACAAAACAAAAGTAAAAAACAATATAAAAAAAAGAGAGTTTGTCTCCACCGTCATCTAGAGCTCTTCTATGCAATTAAAGGTACATAACGGCTCAACCCATTTAATGTTATCTAGAACGGTAATTTAATTCAAACTGCTTCAATTTATGAGTAGGTGCATAGCGTTATCAGCAAGGGCCTTAAGAAAATCTGGTCTATTTTTAGTGATTTATTTGGACAATATAGATGTTTTGCAAGTTCATTTTCCTTTTGGTATATTGTGATCAGCATAGTTTGACCCTAAACTAGTTTTGGAAGTCTTCCGCCAACCCTAAATGCTCACTGGTCCCTGCCTGAACCCCATTAATTTCTTGGAGCCACCTTTGGCAATAGCTCAGATGATGAATCTGCTAGTAAAGATTGCCATACACTCTATAAAGCTGGCCTTTAATAATGAGTGCTGGAAAGAAAACATAGCTGGATAAAAAATAACATTTTTTTTATAGAGGTTGGGTTCTAATCAGAAGTGTGTACTTACTAATCAGAATAACACACCATGGAGAAAAGTACAGCTGTTAAACTAAAGATGGATCAAGCTAATTACAAGACAGTTTATTTTAATCATCTCAGAGGATTTATTTCATATGCATAAAACATGCATATGCATGAGACATAGCCAAATATGGTTTGAACTTATGTTCCTCTACCAAGGATTTCAATCAAACAAAATGATTGTATTTAATGTATACGCCTACTGGTGAAATTAAGGTTCTATTTAAAATGCGACAATTGCTAGAATTTAAAACCACTGGACAGAAATGTGTAGATTAACTGCATTTTCATGGATAGTTTATTTTCAATACAGGCTCTAGACATTCTATGATAGTTATTTTATGTAGATCAGAAAATGTGTGGCTCAGCTTCATGATTTAATAGAAGAGTTTTGAAAGCTTATGCTATGCTTAAATGTAGATTTTCTTGTTGCTCTGCAGATCTTTTTCTTTAAGCAGTTTTGCCAATATTTTAAAAGATTGTGAAAAGTCAGGTAGCTTAAAGGAATTAATTTATGGTATGTAGGGTCAAAAAGACAATGTACCATTTGCAGAAATAAAGGATAAAGTTTAGCACTTTTCATTCAATATTGCAAAAAAAAAAAAAGCTTTAACTTTCCCCTATATTAACCAGTTAAAACACTATGCATGATCTGCACATTTATATACACTACTGCATATACAAATAGCATTGGTAGACTGATAATCCAGCATCACCTGCCTTTCCATTTATTACACTGGTTCAGTAGGCTACCACAGTGAATGGAGCACCTATAGATCAACAATACAGATTATAATTTTTTTTTGACACTGTACATTTCAGGATGTGAAATGGTAAGACAGTTTGCAGGTTAGCATAAAGCCAGAAGTGATAGATTTCAGGTTTGAGTGCTGTGTGGAAATGAAAACTAGAAATGATCCTTTCCAGAAGTAAAACCAGGTGAACAGAGTTAGATTTTTATGAAAGCATTCAAGATGCAAAAAAAAAAAAAAAAAGCTGATTTAATCATCTAAATACTGTTTAAATCATTTTAATCTGTGCAACAGCAAGGACAAAAGGCTTGATTCTCACAAAGAGGACTTTATTCCACAACTGACTGCAGAACTGGAGTCCTGCAGACAGGAATACCTTCACACCTTAATCCATCCAACACAAGAACAGAACAGGGAGTTTACCAAATAAAAAAAGAATTGGTCAACAGATTAAATCCTTTTTCATGTGGGACGTTTCCTCAGGCGTGATGAGGGGGGTATGGATCGACCATCTGATGGAACTAAGCAAAATCGCAGCTCTTACATGTTTTACATTTATAAAACTCTGTATAAAGGAGAATAAGGGCAACACTGGTACATTCAGTCATCTGGTTGGTTTACTCCTTAGAGGCCATGTGGGCCATGAGGTCGCAAACACGATTGCTGTAGCCGAACTCATTGTCGTACCTTAAAAAGAAAAAATAAATTAGCATCATTTTTAACAAATGTGGTTAGATGGATATTGATGGAGGCGCACCATGTAACAAGCTTGACAAAGTGGTCGTTGAGGGCAATGCCAGCGCCAGCATCAAAGATGGAGGAGTGAGAGTCTCCATTGAAGTCTGTAGAGACAACCTACAGGAGAGCAGGGAGTACAAGGTGAACAACTTTGATTTAAGTTGAAGATTTATTGGCTTTGGATGCAGTAGGTACATTTGGCTTATATTTTGATATTTTGTGATTTATGGCTCTCCGTCTCAGATATGTTCCTGCCATAGCTTTAAGTCCAAATTCCAAATGAGCAATCTGCAAATGTCCTAATCGCAGTGCAAATCTGGGTCAACACTAAAAGGCAACCAGAGCAAACCTACTGGATGCTTAAGCCCAAAGTTGGGACATAATGAAGCAAAATGTGAAAGCAGGGTGCAGACCTGGTGCTCAGTGTATCCAAGGATACCCTTCATGGGACCCTCAGCTGCAGCTTTCACGACCTTCTTGATGTCATCGTACTTTGCCTGTAAAAGATAAGAGTGCAACCTAAATCATACATTTATCACAAGAAACGGCAAAAGTGAATATAGAAATGAGCAAACTTACTGGTTTTTCCAGACGGACAGTCAGATCAACCACGGACACATTGGGGGTGGGGACACGGAAGGCCATACCAGTCAGCTTGCTGTAAAATCGGCAAAGAAAAATTAGAGTCACTTAAGCAAATTAACATAACCCTCTTATAGACAAACAGGCTAAATAAAGTGAATTCCACCCGCCCCCCAATACTGACCCGTTGAGCTCAGGGATGACCTTGCCAACAGCCTTGGCTGCACCAGTAGAGGCAGGGATGATGTTCTGGCTGGCACCACGGCCATCCCTCCACAGTTTTCCAGATGGGCCGTCCACAGTCTTCTGGGTGGCTGTGATAGCATGGACTGTGCTCTGATGTATTCAGAATGAAAGAGGAGCATTAAACAAGCCAGGGCAGCTAAAATACTTTGCAATAGAGTCAAATTCTCACCATCAGGCCCTCAACGATGCCAAAGTTGTCATTGATTACTTTAGCCAGGGGTGCCAGGCAGTTTGTTGTGCAGGAGGCATTGCTATAAAGACAAAATTAGAGATTGAAATACATATTTAAACGTTGTGGTGCTTGGCAAGTTTTTTTCTATTCATTTTAAATACGCAATTCTTACCTGACAACCTGGAGGGATTTGTCATACTTCTCATGGTTGACGCCCATGACAAACATTGGGGCATCAGCACTGGGAGCAGAAATGATTACCCTCTTGGCACCACCCTTCAAGTGAGTCTAAAAAGTGGTACAAAAGTAGTATAAACCCAGTTGATGATCAGCCATTAAGGAGAGTGTCATTTCATGCAGAAGGCATCCTCATCTTCCAATTTTATACTCATTTATGAAGGAGCCTATAATTTACTTTAAAGATTTATAGCAAATAAAGCCAAATGAAATAAGTTTCAAACCTAAAAATGGGGACAAAGAAAATTACACAAAACCATACACTACCACTACAAATAATACGCATCCATGACCTTCTACAAAGGAGAATTTTAAAGCTGGGCTTTCACTTGTTTATTAAAACTTAGTGAATTTAAGGCATGTCAACTTCTGAAACTGCTTTGAAAAGCTGTAGATTTTAAAAACTTGTGTTCTCCTGTTTTAGAATAAGAGTGAGGACCATTTAGGTCCTTAACCTTTGGAGTGAGGACATTTTGGCCAGTCCTCATGAGCAATGTTGCTCTCGTAGATTGAAGGCTAGGGTTAAGGTAATGTTAAGGTTGTTCTTAGGGTTAGAGCATAGAAAGGGTTTAAAATGACAGGGGAAAATAATTCAATTGAAGTCAATTGGAGTAAATGCCAAGAAGGTATACGTTTACTACACATTTTCTTTGATCCAGTGGTCCCTTAAAATGTCCTACATGCTTTAGAAGCTCGATCACATGAACTAAAAATAATGATTCAACAACTTGAGACTTTATGGCATTATGAAGATAATAGGATATATATAATATAGAGTAGTGAACTCTGGGGGAAATTTTAGCTATATTTTATGGGATCAGTAGTCCAAGGATTTAAATTTGCAAGTCTTCAATTCTTCGCAATTGCTTTATTAAGTAGCTGCCCTGCACCAGTCAATGGAATTTCTCATTTAGTTTAATGTTAAACATGGTAGCTGCTTTCCAAATTCAGTTTAAAGCATCAGGAAATAAATATTCCCAATATAAAAATCTTTTAGAAGTCAGATGGACTGAGTGCTTACTGAGGCCTTCTCGATGGTGGTGAACACACCAGTTGACTCCACCACATACTGGGCACCAGCCTCACCCCATTTGATGTTAGCTGGGTCCCTCCTGTAGGGAGGAGGATAAAGCAAAGTTGTCTCCATCAACTTTTTTTCCCCCAGGGGTGTGTAATGATGGTTTTACCGTGCATCCAAACTAACAGAGACACTGGGAAATGAACTTACTCATGGAAGACTGTGATTTTGTGTCCATCGATGACCAGCTTGTCTCCCTCAGCCTTGACCTCGCCATGGTAACGGCCGTGTGTGGAGTCATACTTGAACATATAAACCTAAAGAGACCAGATTGCATTTTGTTTCCCATCAATATAGAACACATTTAACAGTGGTTGCTTAACATATTTTAGCCCAGACGACAACAATTTCCTTTGCTCCCTAATCCTCTACAATGGGAACCAATTTAGCCAAAAAAAGAGCCCATACTTTTCAACTTTTTCTCCACATCAAGTTATCTTGGGGAAAATATTCAATAATAATACCCTTTCTTGTAAGTATCTGGTGTGTGTGGGATAAAAGGCAGTGTTCTGAAGAACATTTTTGACCTACCATGTACTCCAGGTCAATGAATGGGTCATTGATGGCGACAATCTCCACCTTCTTGGTGGTGAAACCAGCACGGGTCACCAGACGACCAATGCGGCCAAATCTGTAACAGGTGAACAAAAAGCACTTCTTAGTTTAGGCCTCTAGATGGCAACATGATGCCTCCTCAATCTGCTGATTGGCTTTAGTTTCAGTGAAATTAAAGGTGGAAACTTTCATGTAAATACAGAACTGAGTCAGTCAAATTTAGTTTGACATTAATTTAGACCCTGGGGGGGGGTATGGTTCACTCTACAAGTGAAGCTATTTTTCAACCATGTGGAAACATAGATAACACCCCAGGAGACATGAAACTGCAGTCAAAGAAAGGCCAGAGTTCAGGAGGAGGGGCAGGAGGAGGTTGTCGTTGAGAGTCAAAATGTTTCTCAAATGTGGTAATCCTTGTGACGAAAGTGCACAGTTTAATCAATGGTCAAGTTAATATTTAACCCTCTGGGTCCTAAAATTTGGCCCCTATATGCTATGCTTATACGTCAGAGCTACTGGGATCAGGAAGTTGAGCAGGTAGAGGGGGGCGAAAAAAAACAAAAGCTTTGTGACCCAACAAATAGATTCAAGTCAGACTGTGTTCTGCAATTTCTAGGTCTGCTTCCATCAGCAGGAAAACTGAACAACCCCTCCTATGATGAAATTACTGCCCACAATGTTATCTGCTAAAGGCCAAAGTTCAAAGATCAAGAAAGTCACCATGAACAGTTGCTCAACAGTCAGTTTGGAGCACGAGCACCTGTGCATGTCCTCCATTAGAAAATACTCATGGCTGCAGCTGCTGCAGATCATCACGTCCAAAAAGCTAGCAGGGTTAAGGCCTTTATCCTGTTTAGCATTGAATAAAGTTGGTGGGAAAAAAAGAAAGAAAAAAAAACTGAAGCGTCAGGATCTGACACAATCAGGGAAAAAAAAAAAAAAACCTCTAGTGCTGTATTTTCTGTAATTTTATACAACTTAGAAGACAGGCCCCATGCTAAACAAAGCACATAGATTTCTTTGCAACCCCTTTCTTTCCTGCAATTTGTATAGCCAATACCATGAAAACCAAATACCGCTTTCCCTAAATTATGTGAGTCAAAGTCCATTATTTTGTTGTCCACAAGCAGACAAATCTTGCAGTTTCTTCCCTTAGACAAACAATTATATAAATGCAAACATCGCATTGCACACATGTCAACAATAAAAGAATCCTTCCATAACTTAACTCTACTTTAGACAAGTTTTAATCAAAAGCATCACTTATAGAGACCTAATGTCTTTTACACAGGTGAAAAATGCCCTTACCCATTGATACCAACTTTCACCATTTTGCCTGGGTTGGTCTAGTCCTCTGAAAAAAGAAAGAGTTAGATTAATTTACAAACATTTAAATCCTATTGTTCTTCAAATGTATACATTTCCTCCTTAGGCATGCAAAAGTGAGCAGACCACAAAAGCATTTGGTGAAATAATTGAAGGATTTTGATTTTCATTTAAATGAAACCAGATTAAAACAGTCATACCAAGCAGTAAAAAGGCCCAGCAAGTCTACAGTCATTTCTTTAATAGTTGCTGAAAGTGTTCAACTGCATTTATTCCATGCATGCAGTCAACAGGTGATCTAAATTATAGTAAGCATGCAGCCTGCTATGTCCCTTTAGTTTACAGATGAAAACTTTTTCAATGAATTGCTTGGAGGTATTTACCGTTTGTGAGATGACTCAGTCTGTCTTGCGACTCCGGGTGTGAGTGGGGAAGAGCAAAGTTTAACCATGCGTTTTTATGATTTACCAGACCCAGAAGCCACGCCCCCTTTACAAATGGTCACTGATCCTTGTCCCACCCCTTTCTGAATGTCAAGGTCGTTAAATGCACTCTTTAATATTTCACTTTCAATCAAACTTAAAGCTTTTCATTCTTTTTTTCCTGCTCTTTTTAATTTCTTTTTTAAAACTATTTAATTTGCATGAGGTGCCGGGAATTCTCAGCAGTCCTGATTTAGATCACCACACCTTAAAGGCCTCAGATCACAGGCTGAAAAAAGACAGGGGTCCCCTGCTGACCTTCTCAGCGAATGCAGCCACATGGAGCGAACGAATAGGTAGGGGGATCAAATCTCTGTCTTACTGACTGTGACATTTAATGTCCAAAGACCATGACCCTTCACTTGACTGACTCTGGAGCTGCTATTCTTTTCCTGCAGCCCCTATCCTTCTGCAGAAGTCAAAAGTTGAAACCTGATTGCTCAATTTCGCTCACATATGCCCACAGAAGCGTGCTTGAGTCCATTTACTCAGTTGAATTGTGGCTTTTGTGAGGCTATTTGGAAATACCTGAAAGGATGCAATAAAAGAAAGCAGTATTTTCTTTTTAGGTAAGCATGCAGAAGCACTAGCACTAGCGAGGTGCATACAAAGGATCGTGCCTTCTGCTCCCAGATTAACTGCCTTCCCTTCTCTTCCCCTGCACACAAACATGACAAGGCTCAGCCATGTCAGCTGCTGTTTCCACATCTATTTTTGACTTTCTTTCCTGGTAACATTGTTGACATCAGAAAAGAAAACTGCAGAGGAGATTAGAAAATGTCAAATCTGAATCATAGCTATGTCCATTTGAACAAGGTCTGTGAGTTGAAAACCTTCCCTAACAGCATGGCCTTTCGTCACAACTGCATGTATCGGTCTTGAGTTCACAAAAAGAGAAAAATCTTATTGGATAACTTTTATTCTCCATCTTCTTGCAGGGGGCTGCAGACATGCTCGAGGAGTTTTTGGCAGCTGTCCAGTGTCCTGGCATTACTGAACTACCACAACCCTGAGTGCAAGCATGCCAGTCTTGGCCGCTACTTTAAGGTCAAAGAGGGGAATTAAAGGTCAGGCTAAGATTAGACACTGGTTTGCTGGCCAACACTGGGCCCAAGTTATACTTGGTACGTAAGAGGTACCATAATCAGATTATATGTTTCTTCTGTTTTACAGTAGTGATGCTGAAGGAAAAGATCTTTTACTTAAGTTAAAAAGTTATCTCTAAGGTTTCAGCAGAGAAATCAACAGTGTTTAAGCATTTATTTTATGTAAAAGTATCTCCTTTTCTCTTAAGTGTCTCTTATTGGGCTGCAAATGTTAAAAAATATATATTTGTATCCATGCAATTTGACCTAAAGCAACAGGTCTACACCTCATTGCCTCATTAGGAAATTGGACAATGACCATATTGCAACACCGGGATAGGACAAATAGTTGTGTGCAGACTGTCTTGCAGTGCCATCTTGTGTTGTTGCATACAAACCCAACAAATTCATTTGTTTGTGGATGCAACTTCAAAAAAATGGCCTGAGTCTTTGAACCTTTAAGTTCTTATGTTGCACACACTTTAACAACTATTTTATTTCGAATTTATGAGACAGATACACTTAATTTAGGCCACAAACTATTGAGTAAAGGGAAAAACGTACTTATTGTCATAAATTACTAAAAGATGTGAAAAGCTTAACTCATTTATAATTCAGACAACTCTACAATGAACAAATGAAGTCAGCAACAGAGTACACTTTTTGAATCGAATACAGATCTATGAACCAAATAATTAGAACTGAAGAACACAGCAGACCACTCAGACAAAAACCTGCAGAAAATTAACAAAGCAGAATTATGTTATATTAGGTTATAGGTTTAGGTAAATCTAAAATAATATCCAAAGCTTTGGATGTGTCCTTCTTTAAAGACTGTTTAAAAGGAATTCCCTAATTGTGTTCCACACAAATTATAAATGTTATAAAGGTATTTTTCTAGACGTGCGAATTCTCCAAATCATTAATGATTGCACTGTGGCGCTGAAATAATATTAGGGTTTCAATATTATTTCAGGATATTTTTTTATGTCGTCATGCGGCTGTCTTCAGCATAAAAAAGAACAGAGAAGCTGCCTCTGCATTGTTGTCAACTCACGATTATATTTAGTGCCTTTTCAGACCCATGTAGCTACATTTTTTCAAAGAAAGATTAGCAACAAATCTAGCATCCTTCCCTGTCTTGTTAGAGACTCTCATGACAACACATAGTGAACCGATCGCTCTGAATTTACTGTCTTTAGATCTAGTGAGGAAGCTCCTCCCTCCTCCAAAATACAGGAACTCAGATGCAGCAGCTGCAGCCTGTGTCTGCAGTCAGAGAGCAGAGCGACTCTCCTATGTTTCTACATTGAACTTGTGTCACACATGTGCAAAGTTTCCATTGATCCCCCCAGGAGACCTGAACAATTATTTTTTAAAGAAATTCGCCAGACTAACTAACCAGGAGGTAGCAAGTATTGGTCTAAAATCTCTTCAAAGGCATCAAATGTGACACATGATGTGAAAAAAGTTTGTTTTTCTTCTTCCGCTCTGGGGCCGCCACAGTGGATTGGTTCTCTTAATTAATAGGAAAAATATGATCATTTTGGTGATCAGAATGTTATGTTCTGGCCCAAGTTGGAAGCCCACCTTGACAGAACCAGCATCCAATCATCTGGGCTTTTAGGATCTAAGAGCAAAAACAACCAACTCTCCTAGTGCCTGGTTTAAAAAGTAGCTTACAGGGTTCAAACACCTAACACAATCTACTGACAAGATTTATTTAGGAGGTGTGATGGACAATTATTCATACAAAGTAATTATTTTAGACAGTTTTTTTTCTTACAAAAACATTTCCTAGTTTTTCAAGCTTTAAACTAATTTAGCCTAAAACACTGGAGGGCCCAAGTTCTGAATAAACACAGACATTTTAAAACTTGTTTTCCTAATCAGCATGATTACCTTTCAGGTTTCATTAAACTTTTAATATTGGACACAGTTTTTTTTTTTTTGATGACTCATTATGGTTGTATTCATGCAGCCATGTAGGCAGAGCATAGCAGTGTATCATCTCTCCAGCCTCAGATGGATCTTATTTTTATGTTTTGCTACAGGCAAAGTCTAGACATCCATTTTCATTGCCAGCAGATAAGGATTTTGGTTTTTTCTCATCTTTGTCTGAAATACTACATTTCACATTTTAGAGCTAATGTTCCTCTCAGGTGGGCTTCCTAAATGGGTTTTAAGGTAGTATTGTAAATCCTGAAAGTATTCAATCATATTACATTTTGTTTCGTTACAGCTTAATTTTATATGGTATTGAATTAATCTCTGTCCTTGAAAATTGTTTATTAAGATAGAAATCTAAGAGCTGCCCCACCTTTGGCAACAATTCCAGCCCCAAGTCATTTTCGATATGATGCTTTAAGCTTAGCACTCGTACATATAGGCAGTTTCACCCATTCCTCTGCAGTACCTCATAAGCTACATCACTGTAATTCGAATTTCAGATCTCTTCAGATGTTAAGTCGGCTGTACGTCTGGCCACTCGTGGACCTAGACAGAGTGGTACTAAAGCCGCTGCTTTGAGATCTTAACTGTGTCCTTTGGGTCTGTGTGCTGCTGAAAAATCTGTTTTTGCCTCAGTCTGAGATCT